GTAAATTGGTACAGCCACTGTGGAAAACAGTATGGAGGCTCCTCAAGAAATTAAAAATAGAACTATCATAAGATCCAGCAATTCTACTTCTGGGTATTTATCCAAAGAAAACGAAACATTAATTTGAAAAGATATCTGCACCCTCAGGTTCAGTGCAACATTATTTACAACAGCCAAGACACAGAAACAACCAAAGTATGCACTGATGGACAAATGGATAAAGAGTTAAGTGTATGTGTGCACGTGCACATGCTTAAACATACAAACACATACACTAGAGAATATTTTTCAGCCATAAAAAAGAGGGAATTCTTGCCATCTGTGACAACATGAATGAAACTTGAAGGCATTATGCTAAGTGAAAAAAGTCAGAGAAAGATTAAGTACCATATGATCTCACTTATATGTGGAATCTAAAAACCTTCAACTCATAGAAATAGAGAACAAATGGGTGGTAAGCAGAAGCTGGGGGTGGGCAAAATGAGTGAAGATGGTCAAAAGGTACAAACTTCCCGTTATAAAGTGAATCTTGGGAATGCCATATACACCATGGTGACTAGTCAATAATACTGTACTATATATTTGAAAGCTGCTAGGAGAATAAATTTCACAAGTTCTCATCACAAGAAAAAAAAACTGTGTAATTCTGTGTAGTGATTTAACTAGACACATTGTGATCATTTCAGTGTATATACATATACACTGAAGCATTATGCTGCATACCTGAACTAATATAATGTTATGCATCAACTGTACCACAAAAAATAGACTCAAAGCAGGTATCAATTAAAGCCTTGAAGGACATAGAAGAAATAGAAGAAATAAATAAGTAGACAAAATTAAATTGTAAACTATACAACACTTTTGTAATATTTATTATTAAACCTTACTTGCTTCTACTAGTGTTTCTCAATGGAAAAGACAAAGTTTTCCTCCTTATATGTTGATCCCCATATGCAATACCACCAAGCGAGTGACAGGCAACCAGTAAACATTCATCCGTCAATAAAGAGTTCGTTTTAACAAAAGCACACTTGACATTTGCCATATGGACTATTCCATAAACATTAAAAAAAGAGAAAAGAGGCACATTTTCAAACAAATGGCAAAATGCTACCGCAGCTCAATTTTGCCCACGGGATACACATCTCCATTCTGTAAATAAGCTATACAACCTGTTTATAGTCTGGCTCTGGCTTATTTTTCTAGTCTCGCCTCCTTACCTTTGCCCTGAGTCTTCTACCCTGGCCACACCAAACCTCTGCCTGCCCTCTACAACCACAAGGCCACAGAGTCCTTCACCCATGTCTCTACTGCACACTTCTACTTATCTTCCAAAACCAGTCACCATTTCTTGTGAAGCTTCCAGGGAGAATTACTCCTTGCCAGTGCCTCTCACAGCACTGTGTTCCTACCTCTACTAGCAAGTGAAACAGACTATATTAGGACCATTGGTTCTCTCCAGAAATAAAGGTCCCTCAAGGCAAAGCCTCTTTCATTTTCACAGTCTGATCAATACCTAATACTGTACTTTGTACACAAGAACAAAACCGTTGTTGAACAGAGGAAAGAGTAAACATTACAAACATCAAGTGTTCTCCTTTATAATCTAGAAATGTATGTGTACATGAGCCCACACAATCACAATGAACGGCGATCATGGAGCTGCAAAAGGACTCTTCATTTTTATCAGCTATGTTTGTGATTCGGTCCCCTTTAAAACTGAATTTTTACTGAGTGTGAAATGATCCAACTTAGAGGTTTTTGCTACATGACTTTTCAGAACCAATTTATTACAAAGCCAGATGTACTTTTGACTGGCAATAAGACTATCATGAAATCCAAATAAGACAATCAAAAATTCAGATTTAAAAAATAACTATTACTAATTAAATATCAAAATCATTCAAGAACCCCTGGAATTTCATTTTCTAAAGTAAGTGCTTTTTGTTCTTCCCCCAGTGTCTATCTTTTGTGCAAATCACTTTGCAAAATATTTCATATGATCATTTCTTAACCAAATTGCTTGTGAAATATTTAAAGAACATCATACAATAAAGTTAACATTTAGGAAGTTTTGTTATTATCAGTCATGTCAGAATGTTGAGGATACCTGTTCTAAAAATTCAAATAAAAGAGGGCACAGATTTGATTACCTATATAAAACCTGTCAAGTTAAATGTAAGCTATATACAGAATTGCAAATAAATAAATTTCAAGTCCTAAGATAAATCATCTTCCTTTTAGTATTAGCAATATTAATAGCCAATATTTACTGAGACCCCACTACCTAGCAGACATATCATGCAAGTTCTCCCTATCTATCCAAAAACCCTTAGAAGAAACCCAAACCTCAGAGGCCAAATGGCTGGCCAAGGCTACACAAGTAAGAAGTAACAGAATTCAAATCCAGGTCTGTATAGTTCCAAAGGATAAAACTTAACTCACTCCCATGCTAACAATGTGTCATACTGAAATACTAAAACAAATTTCTACAACTCTTTGCTTCTTTGAACTGCCAAAGGTAAATGGTTTAATCCTCTGGTCTCTTACCACCTCCTCGCAGTGCCATAACCTTTCCTCAACTTACTGTTAAGCCTCCATGCTTGAAGTCCATGGTATGTGAAATCTATGCTTTTTGAAGTCTACTTTGATACTTCCAAAGTTAAACTGTTTTGAACAGCATACAATAGTAATTTCCTTATCCTGAGGTTTAGAGGAACATGTTTTCATACAAGTTTCCGAACTGTGTGCTACATAAAACTACCAACTATTTTTCCCTCAATACTTGGAGGTAACCTTCACAGAAACATTAAAAAGCCAGAAAATTAAGAGCAGCTTACCTTTCAGGTTTTAAATGTTCTGAAACTAGTTAAAAAATAAAGGAATGGATTAAAAGGGGGCTTTCTAAATATTTGATTAAATACCAGGTGGTAGCATCAATTTCAAGTCTGAATTCCATGCTGGTGAAGGAAAAAAGAATTTCAATTCAATAAAAATTCTGTTCCACCAGCTTTGCAAAATTTCACAGCTCATCTGCATTTTCTTAAAGCTTCTTCACTGATGGTACTTATTTACAAAGAATCAAGTGCCAAGTTTAATATAGAAATTCTTTAATTATATCTGTTCAGGACAGATGTATGTGGCTACTTATTCTGGCATCAAAGTAATTAGCATTAAAGATCAAACGCTACTAGCGTGAATACAGAATACAAAATGTTTGGATTCTATGTCATGGAACCACAGAAAGAATCCAGTAAGTCAACTTTCACTGAATTTATTTATGCCTGTCATTTCCTTTGGGGCAAATTCATTTTACAGGCTGCTGGCAAGAGAGATTCAAAACCGGTTGGCTTTTATTGTTTGGTATTAACTCTTTAACGATCAACCATACGGCTGTAGCTAATTCAGCCATGTTGCCGGTTCAAAGGAAAACTTAATTACATTAAGCCAAAGGTATTTATAAAATCAACTGACAGGAAAGAGAGATTAATTGCTATTATGATATTGTTCCTGAAGCCAGGAACTAGAAAATCCAGATGAATTATGATAATTAGAACGCCTAGGAAGAAGAGAAAAGCTATCAGCTACTTTTTGTTCTTTACTAACTTGGCAACAAAATTTTCTTTTCTTTTTCACTTATGTTCTTATGCTATGGTTTTATTGTTACTATGAAGGAAATGCTGTAAGCAGTTCAGAAAATGGTTACATGTGTTCACAGAATTACAAAATTACAATATCTCAGGGATGGCAGAAGATTCCCAAGAGTATCTAATCCAACTATCTAAGGAGAGTGAAACTTTCACCACTATATCCCCACTAAGTAGCCAATGGATGGAATATTTTCTACCTATTAAAAGTAGCCCACTCCATCTTTAAATGACTTTCTTAGAAAGTTTGTACTCAGTGAAAAAGTCTGTTTCCCTATTGTTTCTACCTTGTTGTATCCCTAAAAGACATGAAAAACAAATTCAACCCTTCTTTCATTCTTTCACATGACGTCTTTCGAATATCTAGAGTGACTCTCTCCAGCTGTCTCCATTCCTTCAAATGTTCCTAATAGAAAATGCTATTGAATCCCATGTCTATTAGGCAAGCTGCAAAAAAATTTAATTTGTATGCATATTTAAAGTTACTTTAATTTTTAACAATACTTAAAACCCGAGTTACCCAAACATATTAGATACTAACCTTAAATTAGGTAAGGTGATGCTCAAGCATAAGAAAAACTTCCTTACAAATAAATGTATATGCTTACATTAATTATAAACTCAATAAATCCAGTCAGACACAAGGCTATTTTCAATACTATCGGGACGCCGAAGTGGCTCAGGGGTTGTGTCTGCCTTTGGCTCGGAGCGTGATCCTGGGGTGCCTGGATCAAGTCCCACAACAGGCTCCCCGGCTCTGCCTGTGTCTCTGCCTCTCTCTCTGTGTCTATCATGAATAAATAAATAAAATCTTAAAAAAAAGAGATAATTTTTAATACTATTTAAATAATTAATTGCCCCTACCTGTCCCTAGTGTATGCCAGTGAAATATTCATACAAAAGGCTATGCATTAACTAAAAACTTGAATAAATATTTAAAATGCCTTTCTATAAAATTTTGGGGCTTTGTTATGTAGTTTATTTCAACAGTAGTATGAGTTATAAATTCTCAAGTTATACATGTGATTTACCTTCCATAACTTTGATAACTTTCAGCCAAAGTCAAACAAAAGAAAAAATAAAAATTTTAAATCTTCCAACTAAAGACAGAAACTCTGAATTTTAAAGGCATTTAGTCATCTGATTTCTGTAAGGTCCTGAGATGTACTGCGTAATCTATTTGAAGGTTCTCACTTTCAATGTCACTAGAAGTTATTTTTAACATTTCATAAATCCTTAGTTCAGTGGTTCATTAAACCAATTGAGTACTTGCCACAGGCTGTTTTGAAATGTTAACACCATCTAAATTACACTGACAAAATTATTAAACATTCACACACAATCACTTACCCAAGACTCATGGTATAAAACTGTTAGCAGATACATTGCATAATCATAATTCTGTCTCTTTAAAGGGCATCTGTAACAGAGAGGGAGGAAGTCAAAATTTCAAAAATTCAGTATATAAAACAATATGCAAAATACACAAATATTAAATACAAAGGATAACTTATATTCAGATATTACCTCTCAACAGGGAATATCCTACCTTTAGGAAAATTCTGTTCTTGGAATAAGAATAGTCTATGTCAGTCACTACTTAAGGCTCCTGAAAACTGGTGTCACTTTATTTTGTATGTATTTATTTTTACTTCTCTTCACTTTTATCACTGATGGCGTTGTTTGTATCTGATAATAGTTTTACACTATTTTTAATATGACTTTGTCCAGTCAACGTGCCTTTCACAGTCTCAGGGTTAAGAGTCTGCTGGACACTGTGAGCGTTATCTATGGGATTCATTTTAAATTTTTTTTTAATTTTTTTTAATTTTATTTATTTATGATAGGCACACAGTGAGAAAGAGAGAAAGAGAGAGGCAGAGAGAGGCAGAGAGAGGCAGAGGGAGAAGCAGGCTCCATGCACCGGGAGCCCGACGTGGGATTCAATCCCGGGTCTCCAGGATCATGCCCTGGGCCAAAGACAGGCGCTAAACAGCTGAGCCACCCAGGTATCCCTGGGATTCATTTTAAAAACAGGGATAGATTAATGACTGATTTAATCTAAATGTTCATCTTGATTTCTCCAGAGCCAAGTTTTAAAAAAAATGAACTACACTATTCAATGCTGTATTGCTGTTGTTATATTTAAAATGGAATTATTAATTTAATATTGGGTGAAACTTCTACGTAAATACGAGACAGCAAGTTTAGCTTTTAGATTAATAAAATCATATAGAAATCATTATTTCCAATTTCTCTGAATATAAAATAAAACCATCATATGACATATGACTTTAACGGTACTCTGCTTATTCTATACCTAAGTTTAGTAGTCCTTTAAATAGTTGCTGCCATAATACATACACACACACTTGAAAACTTAGGGAAAAAAATCATTGTCAGATACTTACAGAATTTCAAAGAGCAAACATTTTAAAGGTATTCTTAAAGTTGTACAAGCTAAAAACTATTATATTTTCTAAAGACAATAAAAAAGAATAATACTAATATATTTCAAATCTATTTTTCCTCCATACAGTAGTAATCTGAAACCAAGGTTCCCAAGCTTTTTCCACCCTCACATTGTTGCCATCACTTATGTATGTCATGCTACTTCTTCCCACCGCTAAGCAGAATATAAAACCAAATCGATATTGGTATCTCCAAATGTTTTAAAACTGGAATAGGAAGGGAGAAAAGTTATCTGCCCACTTGCTTTTCTCTAAAGGTAGGTCTTTGTATTTTGACATAATTTAGAAACAACCAAAGATAAGATAGAAATTAAAAAAAAAAAAAAAAAAAAAAACCCATGGCACCCGGGTGGCTCAGTCGATTAAGTGTCCAACTCTTGATTTCAGCTCAGGTCATAATTTCAGAGCTGTGAGTTCGAGTCCTTTGTGAGAAGACTCCATGTTGGGCTTGAGGCCTGCTTAAGATTCTCTCTCCCCCTTTCTCTCTGCCCCTCTCTCCCCTCTATAAAAAGAAATAAAATAACCCTTTTGTAAAAATGTACCAATAACTCCTTTTCACCTCAAATGACCTAATTTATAAATTCATGAGGTAAATTTAATACTGCCTTTATGACTGGGTGATGGGCACTGAGGGGGGCACTTGGTGGGATGAGCATTGGGTGTTAAGCTATATGTTGGCAAATTGGAACTCCAATAAAAAATAAAATAAAAAAATACTGCCTTTATGAAGTAAATTCGCTAAAATCCTGCTTATTTACAAAATTGCCTAAGTAAATTAAATTTCTGTATTTAATCACTAAACTTTGAACTCTAAGATCTGACTTTGTAAAAACCTGTTTAAACCTTAATCACTGGCAAATCATACTTTTGTTTTCTTCTAACATCTTCCCTAAGTCTAATTACACATGGATATCAATACTGAAAAATAACAATTTTATTTTTTTTAAATAACAATAATTTAACAAGGCAGTTAAACAAGCTTCTCTCCATGTCCATAAAGAGGACAGTAACAGTAGACTAGTGTCACCATATTAAACACATGAACTGGGCAACTTCACTGACCTAATATGTTAATATAATTTGATATAAAAGGCTACCTTGACTTTTTAATATCATTTCTTAAGAAAAGGACTGTCAGGGGATTAGAAAACAATAAAACACAATGACCAATCTGAACTTTTCTTTTTTTACCTGTCTGTTGTGATGGTAAGCACATCTGTTGTCTTGCAGTATCGCTCTCCCACAAGTTTAATAAGTTTCTTCTTTGCATGATCATCTAAATTCAAACTAGAAAGTTTAACCTTAAAAATAAAAAGTTATTGGAGAAAACTCACTTCAGATACTTTGTTTAGTGAGAATAAAACCCCAGTACCAATATTATTTATATTAACATTAAACAAACCAAAACGAAACTTGCAACCCTGCACTCTTGTCTATATATAGTTAGTAACTGGCATGCATTATGAAGCCTGATCTTACCCATGGAAAAAAAGAGAGGGGGAGTGAACTGTTTCAAGTTCTTTGAAAGTTCTGGGCATTAGCACCTTTCTGAAAGAACCAATAACAAGTCTCTTAAATACATGAAATTACAGCTTATGAGTAATACAAACAGAATTAAACTCAATTAGTAATGCTGGAATATAGGAATAAATGATAAAACAAAAAGGCTTAAAGATATTTTCCACCATGCAATTATGAGACCCATATCATTGCAACTAGTTCAGGGATATTTATTTTAAAAGGTACTGATATCTCATGGAGGCTAGAATATAGTATTCATGAAGATCAAAACGTTTGAAATAATTCAGCTCAATATTTCTCAAAATGTTAATACTAGTCCCAGAGACTGCTAAGAAGATTTCTCTAAAAAGTCTATTTCTGTTGAATACATTCAGGAAATGCAGAGTTAAACTGGTTTTTATAGAAGGATTTCTTGGAAGAGCTAATATGCCTTGAGCATTCTGAAATTTCAGGATGCAGGATTCTCATGTAACAATTCCCAAATTTATATGACCTCATATTCTACCTTTTATCCACCCCCCCCCCCATATTCTACTTTTCAAAGCTCATGGAATTAGTCTTCCTTAAAATATATTTTGGGGAATACTGGATTACATGATCACACTTTTTAATTTGTAGAGAATTATGGCATGGGCTGAAAGTATCTAAAAGATAAAAAGGCTTGACACAGGAAAATAGGTCAGATACTACAACAGTTAAATACGGTAAACCACAGGCTGTTTTCCTATGGACAGCATTCATTAAAAATAAGAAAGATCCATAATTGTATGAAGAAAAAAAAAAGGCTAAATAAGATTTTAAAATCACATCTACTGGATCCCTGGGTGGCGCAGCGGTTTGGCGCCTGCCTTTGGCCCAGGGCGCGATCCTGGAGACCCGGGATCGAATCCCACATCGGGCTCCCGGTGCATGGAGCCTGCTTCTCCCTCTGCCTGTGTCTCTGCCTCTCTCTCTCTGTGACTATCATAAATAAATAAAAATTAAAAAAAAAATAAAATAAAATCACATCTACTTCTTTCTAGCTTCAATAACTCTGCACTTCCCTCAAGACATAGCATAAGAGCTTATTTATTTTTCATTTTATCCATTAGACTGCAAACCTTTGAGGATAAGAATGGTATCTGTCCCATTTTTGGTGATGGTTTGGCACTTAAAGAGCACGTAACATGTATTTGTTGAATGAACACATAAATGAAAAAAGAAAGGATACATTATTTTTTTAAGCCTTGTGAATTTTTATTTGAACTACAGAAAATATAGTAAATGAATAAATAAAATACACCTTTAAAGAACATATGCAGAAAAATATTGACTATTAAGTATCAACCTAACAGAATAGTTCTAGGTGCAGGCAGTGCAAATTACCACAGTCCTCTGGAAAAAAACGCGTCAACAACCAGGTTATTAGCTTAAGGGATAAAATAAAGAAATTCTACAATAATTCTGATTGTTAACAATAAGAATTACGTACAAGAAAATCATAAAATGAATCTACATTATGATTATAATTATAAAAATATTTGAAAAAAAATTGTATATATGCATCCATACAGATAGAGAAAGAATAGTTTTTACATTAGAATGGTGAGAATGGAATGATTTTTTCCTTTTAAAACTCCCTTCATCATGTTCAACAATAAATTCAAAAATTTACCATTTAAAAAATTTAAGTGTTCTAGCTTCATGTAAGTAATAAAAAAAAAAGGCAGCAATGCTGATTATTCTAACTGCTTTAAAACGTACATTCACATTAACATTTTAATGTTCAAAAATTATATAGAGCTTATGCCAGAAACTCATACATATTTTAGAAAGAGCTATGTGGTACACTCACGCCACCTGCTAGCACTCAAAGGCACTGCAAATGTAGTCTAACCTGGACTCAATAGCCTGACTCTGAAGCTGAGTGGCATTCACTATCATTCTTTTTTTTCAAAATTCAAAAGAATCCTTGGATTTTTCTATTTTCAAGTTGCTACATTTTAAGGAATCAATATTGCACTACTAACATTATCCCCAAAGCAATACTGACATTTCAAATCATAGGAGGTCATGGTTATATGTGTGTATTTTCAAATGCCCATATTTAAGAACTATATAAATTGAGAAATGTCTTATTGTGTGAAATATCTTCTCTGTTTAGAAGCGCAGTGCGGTTAAAGAACTTGTAGTTGTATACAAAAGATAAGACTTCGGTTTCATTTCTAGATTTTCTACTTTTTTTTTTTTTGCTAAGTGACTTTAAGCAAATCATTTGATCTTACTGTTTCCTCATTATAAAATAGAATCGACTCACAAGATTTTTGTCAGAAATAAATGAGAATAAACAGAAGAAAGCCTTTTTAAATTCTTACACAAATATGAAGTTGTTTTTTAACTCTGATCTACTTTTATGATTATCAAGAAAAATATGGTATCATCTTTCTCTAAATTTAAAAATTTGAGTATCTCCTTATATAATACTTTATAATATTTAACTAGCTTCAAAGTATCACTTTAAACTCTGCCAGAAGGTATCTGGGTGGCTCAGTCGGTTAAGTATCTGACCCTTGATTTTGGCTCAGCTCATGATATCAGGGTCATAGGATTTAGCTCCATTTTGGGCTCTGCATTGGGCATGGAGCCTGCTTGGGATTTTCTCTCTTCTTCTCTCTCTCCCCCTCTGCCTCCTGCCCCTTAAAATAAATAAAAATAAAAAATAAATCATGCCAGAATGTACATGCTTTAGTCCCACTGTTTTACCTACTTCTACCCTTTAACTACCTGACACCATTCAGGAAACTACCACTGAGCTTTAACAGTCAGTAGGTAGAGTGAAGAGTCCAAGAAAGGCAGACATGAGTCAGGGGAAAAGAACACAAAGAACTGATACGGCAAGATAAAAAAGAGACAAGAGAGGATGGTAGCCTGATACAGTAAGTGGTATCTTGTGGTATACTTCAAATAATGCAATGAGATTATTTTTATGTAAAATAAAATAAGCAAAAAGAACCAGTAGGGAACCAGATGTCTATTCTGGAAATGGAGATTAAGGCCCACAAATAGTAAAGCAAAAATCTAGGTTTCCTGACTCTGAGTTCAGAGGTTTTTTTTTTTTTAAACCACATAACACAAAGCTCAACAAGTTGGCTAGTATCATTATCATTACCATTAAAAAGAGGCAACATTTGCTAAGTTATGAGAAATGTATCAGGTATAATATTATCTCTAGGTACTTTTAAATTTTTTATTTTTAAGTAATCCCTATACCCAACGTGGGGTTCAAACTGAGATCAGACTGAACCCCACTCCCTAGGTACTTTACAATAATCTGTGGAACGTCAGCCAAGCAGAATTTTAAGGTTGCCCCCCCTTTTATTTATACAGTAGATATGTATGGTCTTTGTGATTTAAAATCTTTTCAATCACTCTAAACACATAAACATATTGCTGTATTTATTCTAGGAAATAAACAAAAGCTGACAAGCTTCATAAATTTCATAAAGAAGGCACAATCCTAATACCAAAACCCAGCAAAGAAAGGAAATTACATATCAAACACTGATGTATCCCTGAAAAATTTCTAGAAATTAAAGTTTGTTACCTTATAGTATAAAAATGGTTACAGAGATTGTCAACATATTTTTCCAGTCCACATGGAGTGTACTGACTTAAAATACAGACTACGTGGAGTACAAAAACTAATTTTGTGAGGGTCCTGGAAGGTATCTCAAAAAGGTGGACAGTCATATTCCAGAATAGATGAATCAGAAATACATTAGTCAGGCTCCCCGGAGAACAGCTGATTCTAAGATTGGGGTAAGTTACATGTATTATAAGCCGGGAGCATTTTGTTTTGCCAAAAAATAAAAAACTATCTAAAAAAACAAATGATGGAGCATGGTAGCCAACTACAAGAGTTACCAATGGCCAAAGCTGGAACAATTTGAGCAACAAAAGTAACAATGTATTATTGTTGGATTATAATCCAAATGCTAATATAAATAATCCATGAGTCCACAATGATATAAACAAATAGTTGAATAAATAAATGGAAGAGAACAGACTAATCACCCATATAGAAGAATTACAAACAATTTATGTGACATTTCTCCCTCAGGGAGGTAGAATATAACTACTAACTCCATTAAGTATGGGCTATGCATAATGACTTCCTTCTAAAGGGTGAAAGAAAAAAGAAAGAAAAAAGAAAAGAAAGAAAAGAAAAGAAAAGAAAAGAAAAGAAAGAAAAAAGAAATAAGAAGAGTCCATTTATAGTGAAGAAAACTTGCAAATAGTACCTCAAAGTATTATTTGATGATCAAACCTTCATTATTAGGAACATCATATTAGGAGCCTCTACCCTTGTTATGACGTGATGAAAATGGCACTTTACTGGTGTGGTTTTCCTCCCAAAAATACATACCAGTCTAAACATGAGACGAACATCAAATAAATCTAAAATGCAGTACATTTCATAAAATATGTAATTAGTACTTCTCAGAACTGTCAAGGTCAGCAAAAGCAAGCAAATTCTGAGAAACCCCACAAGGCAAGAGGTGCCTAAAGAAATCTGAATAGGGGTACCTGGGTGCCTCAGTGAGTTAAGTGGCTGCCTTTGGCTCAGATCATGAACCTAGGACCCTGGGATAGAACCTGGTGTCAAGAGACTCTTTCTCATGGCGAGCCTATTATCGTCCATCTCCCTCTGCTCCCCCTAACTCACGTTCTTTACTGCACACTCTTCTCTCAAATAAATAAAATCTTTAAAAAAAGAAATCTGAATAAAGAATGAACTTTAATAACTAATGTATCAATATTGACTCATTAGTTGTAATAAATGTATCACAATAAGATGTTAACAACAAAAAAATGTAGTGTGAAAAATAGGGGGATTCTGGGAACTATCCTTGAAACTTTTTTGTAAATCTACCACTTTTTTAGTTAAAAAAAAAAACCATCAACTGCTCCATGACTGCTGTATGAGACAGACATGCCATATGGATCAAAACTCTTACCAGAGGAAACTAACAGTGGTTTCAAATACATAGAAGCTATCAGAGTAAGTGCAGTGGTATGTAGTAGTATGGTCCTAATGAGTAAGAGCAGGGATTTAATGTTTCTCCAAAGCAGCAAGAGATTAGGACAAACGATCCCAAAAAAAATGCTAACAAAGCAAATCCACAGTAAAGTAAAAAAGTATGTACTACAAAATAATCAAGGTTCAGAAATGCTTCAGTATTTGAAAACCTAACAATATAATTTATTACAATAATTCAAAGGCGATCATTTCAAAAATGCTATAAGAATAAGACACATCATTAACATAATAGATGTTATTATCTCATACTGAAATCCAATTTATAGTTAGAGGCTAAAAACCAGACACACACCCACTGACGTACAAAACAGCTAAAGAGACTACATAAACATTGTTTTAGAAACTTCATCTAATGAAAAATACTAAAAGAAATAAACAAGCTATAGATATTTAAAAAGAGGAATTATAACCACTATTATTTATCATTTATTTCCTAGGAAATCTCTGAGAGAGTGAACTAAAAGTCAAAGCTTTCAGATCTTGGTTTCTTATATATCAATATCCACCCCTCTTCAAACACTGCCTTCATACAGAACAGACTCTGATTTACATGTTTTTCTATGCTGCCATTAAAAATAATATTAAATAGGGGCACCAGGCTGGCTCAGTCAGTAGAACATGTGATTCTTGGTCTTGGGGCTGTGAGTTCAAATCCTATGTTGGATATGGAAATTACTTAAAAATAGTTAACAAAAACAATATTAAGGAGTGACAACTGTATGGTGACAGATGATAACTATACTTATATAGTGAATATTCTGTAACAGACATAATTGTCACTAGATTGTACCCCTCAGACTAATATGGTAATGTATGTCAACTATATTCAATTAAAAAAATTTAAAAATGTTTAATAACTTTGGAAAATTTTAATCCATATTGTTAAATAAAAAAGATAACTAATCAAATACAGTATCATCCTATATTAACAGGCTGTCTATATATGTACTAAAATGAACTTCAGGAGTCAACAGTGCTTATTTGTGAGTGGCAAAATTATAGGCAATTATATTTTATACCTTAAAACTTTTGTATTTCCCAAATTTTCTATAATGACTTTTATATTCACACATACAAAATGCTATTTTTAAATAATGGTTTATAATTCTTTTATTATTATTTTTTAAGATTTTATTTATTTATTCATGAGAGAGAGAGGGGCAGAGACACAGCAGAGGGAGAAACAGGCTCCTCACAGGGAGCCTGATGTGGGACTCGATCTCCAGACCTGGGATCATGCCCTGAGCCAAAGGCAAGATGCTCAACCACTGAGCCACCCAGGCACCCCAATTCTTATTTTTTTTTAAATATTTCTTACCCTTAAGGTTACTACTCGTGCTTTGGGGTTTCGAATAGATGGTCCTGCTGAAACATAATCAGCTGTGTCAATTTCAATGGGAAAATGCTTCTCGCATTTCTCATCACTGTCCAGTGCAGCTGGCCACTCAGTGCAGAAATCTAAGAATTAAAAAAAATTATCTCAAGTATAGTTCTGCCAAGGAAATTCTCATCGCAATATGTGCTAACAGACAAAATCAAATTATTGAGGGAGATGATGCTCGAGTTGCATGAAATCAAAGAACAAATTCTCAATTTTGCACTTTAAACACATCATCACCCTACATCTCTTTTTTTCCTTAGATGAATCCTAATTAGGGAATGTAATTAAATCAATGATTTAGGTAGCTTGGGTTTGGTGGGGAGCAGTAAGTTTAGTTAAAAGGGAACAATGACTTGATGGGAGCTTATTATAGCTTTGCATATACCTTATGGGACAGTTTCACTCCTCCTCACCAGCTAAAAGCAAACAGTTCAGAGTGTTATTGTTTTTGAAAAATCAACAGTTAACAGTAATTCATTTCCAAATAAAAGTTACTAAAGGTCTACTGAAGGGAACTGAAAGAAGCTCTGAAAAAGCTCTTAGAAGAAAATGAGATATGGTCTAAATTCTCAGAAACGGAGTTGAATAGGGCCTCAGACTGAACCAGTACAAATGCCTAGGACATTCTTAAAGAGATCCTTAGAGTAATTCACGTTTCCTCTAATGTGACTTCTGTGCCAACGGGGCTAAAAGAAAAGAGGAAAAGACATCTTCATTTTTAGCCTAAAGACAACTAGCCTAAGGGGAGGTGGGACTGGCTCCGAGAACTGGGCCATAACAGGAAGTTCCAAGCACTGCGAACAAGAATGCAGTACACCATCCATTTCCACAGCACAGAGACAGAAACTCAGGCCTCAAGTCGGGGGGGAGGGGAGCTGAAAGGAACTCCCAGCGTATCCTACAGCTATCTGTATTGAGGGACTTCTTAAGTAGGTAATTGATTTCATTTTGCCCTATTCCTATTTCACCTCAGCTTGAAATGAAAACTTTTGGCACTATTAGGTTTCCTTCAATGGAAATTTCACTCCTTAAACAACCTCATTCTAAGAATACCTAAAAGTAATCAGTTTCTTAGATTAAACACATTAAACCTCATAGGGTCGGTGCTTTCTCCAAAAAGCATGACTGCAGAAGAGGCTAGTCACAGGCATATGTGGGAACTCTTCCACATGATGATTTAAGAGACAGTGAGAGGTACTTTGTCAATAACATTTCCTAGAGTTAACAATTTTCTAATAGTGGTACTATATTTAGCTTCCATTTAGGGTTTAGTATCAGTCAGAAAAATGTCACTCTGGGTTACAGACTCCTCAAGATCTGCAACTAACTATATGTTAACAAATTACGTATAGCTCACACTGTTCCCTAAACACCCTGCTTAAGAGAGCAATACTCACACATTTAGAGGAGAGAGAAGTATCTTTGCAATTAAGAATATTCTGACATTTAAATAAAATAAGCATGATTACTAAAGTTAAATTTCATTCCCATATGGACTCATTCCAATATCCTGCACTATAAGATGCAACACTGCCAAGCACTTTATAAGAGAGACTAGTTTGGAGAATTTTATCATTTCTTGGGTTTGTACTGAGTCTTTTATTTTTCATAACTTTGAGTAAGTCATTTCAATAACCAAATGATAATTACAACTTTTAAATTACCGGATTATATGTCTAAAAAACACAGCCAACTGGAAAGTACATAATAGACCCCTATTCATCTGATAGGTAGAGCAATAGACTAGACTTCGGAAGACCTTGGTTTTTACTTAACTTCTGCCACTGATTATTAAAGTTTTGGTAAATTACCTAACTTTCCTGTGCTTCAGATTTTCCACTTGCAAGTTAGATATAAAATCTGAACTGACCTACTTTGAAAGAAAATTGAGAAGAAATATTTTAAAAGCCTTTGAGTTATTTGGAAGATACAATCTAAATCTAGAGGCTGGCAAAAGTGTAAAGGCAAAATTAAAGAAAGATTAAAGCACTTACTTACTTAAAATATAATGCTACTCTTCTGAATGTGCTATAAGAAAGCCTTTCATTTAAGAATTATGAAATATTTTACAAATACCTCATTAAAAGAACCCAGTCTCTAGATTATAAATGCACATTTAAAAATAATGTTTAAAAGGAGAAAAATGAGATTTATTACAGTGTAATGCATTCCTTAACTTGCTTCACAAAGGATCAAAAAGTGATACATGGTTTGTGCTGAATGGGGCAGAAATTTGGAAGAATGATCAGTGTCAGTCTATCATCAGGCACCAATGAAAATAGAAACATACAATCTAAAAGGATAGAAATGCATCCTACTATTCCCAAACAGAGGACCACATACATGAAGAGATAGGAGAGATTTTTCTTTTCTAGTAGGAGTAAGGTCATTATTCCTACTTTTTAAGATTTCTTTATCTCTTCCTTATATTTTTAAATAAAAGGCTCTTCCAAAAGCTCAAATTTCATCATAATCATGATCACTATTGCTATTTCTCCTTCCAGCATGATCAAGCTGCCTGTGAAGAGTTTTTAGATTTCATTTTCTTTCCTGAGAAGCCTTAACAAGTGTATTAAGCATTTATACATTTCCTTCTTAATTAGCATGAGTTTAGGAATTCATCCAAAGGTACTAATCCTTGAATTAAATTACACAACCAATCAATAACAGCTGTGAACTAAAACAATTCCAACATCCTTATTCTGTATATAGTCCAATGCAAATTAGATCTGGAATTGAGTCAGAACACATATATGTATGAAAACATGCAAAAGACTATGAAAAAAAAGTTCTTTGCCTTTACCTCCATGCATGTGGGAAGAAAAGAATAAGTGAGTGAGGGGCACCTGGATAGCATAGTCAGTTAAGCATCCTACTCTTGGTTTCCTCTCAGATCATGATCTCAGGGTTGTGATATTAAGCCCTGCATGGGGCTCTGCTCTCAGGACAGTCTACTTGAGTTTCTCTTTCCCTCTCCCTCAATCCCTCCTCCCTTGCACTCCCTCAAATAAATAAATAAATCTTTAACAAAGAAAAAGAAGTGAGTGAAATCTGTTTATATCTAGGAATCAAATATTATTCAAATTCAATAAATTTAGAACTGAAGATATAATCGGGGGCTGGTGATTACTTCCATGTTACATATGTATATGAAAAATACAAATATACTAATGTAACTATATATATAAAATATATGTAGAGAGAATACATAAAGAATATTATATAGAAAAATAAATACACTCTCAGAAAGTAATTGAGACCTAAACAATGATCAAAAGATAACACTTCTGAAATGAGGGGCCAAGTGAGAAAGGAGAAATAGAAGACTATTGCTTTTCATCAACAGTTTTTCTACTACTTGTTGTTGCCACATCTACAGATCACTGAAGTTATTTTAAACAATTTCAAGACAACTCTCTCTACAAAGTATTCCATTACTGACTCCACTGACTATTCTACTCAACACCTTTCTACATTATCTACAGTTTGGATTATATTCATTTGTATCTATCGGCAACACTCTGTAATATTTTCTTCCGTCTTTTTATGTATGTGCTATCTATAATGTAATGGTAAGTCCCTAACCTACCTGAACAAGGACTATGATTTCTGGTTCTATTTATTATTCATAGCCACTTGTAGAGTAGTCTGGAAAAAAAACAAAAAGAATTTGGAGATTTGTCATCTTAACAATTCACTGAAAACAACTTGAAAATTTTTCCAAAAAAATGAGAAACTAGCAGTAACTGAGAATGTAAGATGATTTAATATATTAAAAATGCAGTTATTTTCTCCATCTTTATTGATATATAATTGATATAAAACATTGTGTATGTTTAAGGTATACAATAATACAATATGTTGATTAGATTCACTTCTATACGTTGCAAAATGATTACAATCGTAACACTAGCTAACACCAATATCCTGTAATAACCATTTCTTTTTGTGGTAAGAACATAGAAGATCTATTCTCCTAGCAACTTTCTGTTATATAATACAGCATTAATAATAACTATAATCACTTTTCTGTACATTAGATACCCAGAACTTATCAGAAAACTAGAAGTTTGTATTCTTTGGCCAACATCTCCCTTCCCCCACAACCTCTCAGCCCCTACTATTCTGAGTTCAGCTTTTTTAGATTTCACATGTATGTGAAATCAGACACTAATTGTCTTTCTCTCTTATTTCACTTAGTGTAATGTCCTCAAGTCCCATCCATGTTGTCACAAATGGCAAGATGTTCTTCCTTCTTGCAACTAAATAATATTTACACACACACACACACAATTGGAAATATCCTTCCCCATTCAGTAGGTTTTCATTTCGTTGATGGCTTCCTTCATTGTGCAAAAGCTTTTCATTCTAGTGGTCTCAGAAGTTTATTTTTGCTTTTATTTCTTTTCCCAAGGAGACAGATCTAGAAAAATACTCCTAAGGCCAATGTCAAAGAAATAACTGCCTATGTTTTTAAGCAGTTTTATGGTTTTAGGTTCACATTTATGTCTTCAATCCAGTCTGAGTTTATTTTTGTGTGTGGCATAAGAAATTGATATTCTTTTCCAGTTTTATTCTTTTGCATGTAGCTGTCCCATTTTCCCAGCACCATTTACTGAAGAGACTGTCTTTTCCCCATTGCATATTCTTGCCTCCTTTGTCAAGGTTGAATTGACCATGTAAGTATGAGCTTATTTTGAGGCTCTTTATCCTGCTCCACTGATCTATGTATTTAATTTTTGTGCTGATTATCGTTATTGCTTTGATTACGCAGCTTGTAGTGTATCTTAAAATCCAAGGCTGTGATACCTCTAGCTTTGGTCTTTCTCGAGACTGCTTTGACTATTCAGGGGCTTTTGTGGTTGCATACAAATTTTAGGATTCTTCCTTCTAATTCTGTGAAAAATGCTGTTGGTATTTTGAGAGGGATTATATTCAATCTGTAATTTGTTTTGGGTAGTCTGAACATTTTAACAATATTAATTCTTCTAACCCTCTATTTAATTGGATTGTCTGGGGCTTTTTGGTACTAAGTTGTATGAATTCTTTATATAGGTTGTATATTAACCTCTAACCCAAGGTTTACAAATATTTTCTCCCATCCTGTAGACTTTTTATTTTGTCAATGGTTGTCTTTGCTGTGTAATAGCTTTTTAGTTTGATGTGGTTCTTGTTTATTTTTGCTTTTCCTGCCTTTGGTATTGGTATCAAATCCAAAAATCATTGCCAAGACCCATGTCAAGGAACTTATTGCTTGTTCTTCTAGTTTTATTTTGTTAATGTGATGTATCACATAGACTAAATTTTCATGTTAGATCATCCTTGCATCCGTGAAATAAATCCCACTTGATCTAACATGATCCTCTAAATGTACTGTTGAATTTGGTTTGGTACTTTTTTGTTGAGGATTTTCATATCTACGTTAATCAAGGACATTGGCCTATAATACTTTTCTTATAGTATCCTCCTCTGGTTTTGGTCATCAGAGTAATGCTGGCCTCATAAAATGAGTTTGGAAGTGTGCCCCCCACTTTTTTGGAAAAATTTATAAAAAAGATTTTATTTATTGATTTGAGAGAAAAAGAGAGACAGCATGAGTGGAGAGGGCAAAGGGAAAGGAACAAGCAGACTCTCTAATCAGCTGGGAGCCCAATCCAGGGCTAGATCCCAGGACCCCAGGATTACAACCTGAGCTGAAGGCAGAGCTTAACCAACTGAGTCACCTTGGTACCTCCTTTTTGGGAAGAATTTGAGAAATATTAGTACTATCTCTTTAAATGATTAGAAAAAGCCATCTGATTCTGGATTTTTCTTTTGTTGGGAGGTTCTCAATTATTGATTCAATTTCCTTATTAGCAACTGGTCTGTTCAGATTTCCTATTTCTTCATGATTCTGTCTTGGTAAGTTCTATGTTCCCAGAACTTTATCCATTTCTTCTAGCTTGTCAAATTAGTTGGCATGTAATTATTCATAGTAGTCTCTTATGATCCTTTATATTTCTGAGGAATCAACTGTAATGACTCCTTTTATGTACAATTTTATTTGAGTCATCTCTTCTCTTGTTGTCTATTTATCTTTCAAAAAGATCTGTGTACTGTTTATCTCTTCAAAAAAATCAGCTCTTAGTTTCATCGATCTTTTCTCTTGTCTTTTTAGTCTATATTTTCACTTTAATCTTTGTTCCTTCCTTCCTTCTACCAACCTTGGGTTTAGTTCTTTATCTAGTTCCTTGAGGTATACGTAAGTTGTTTATTTGAGATCTTTTTTCTTAATGTACACTATCCACCTCCCTCTTAGAATTGCTTTAGTTGCACCCTGTAAGTTTTAGTATATTGTTTCCATTTTTATTTGTTTCAAGATTTTTCAAATTTTTCTTTTGATTTTTTTTTCATTGAACCAATGGTTATTCAGGGATATGTTGTTCAATCTCCACATACTTATGAGTTTTCTAGTTTTTTTCTTATAACAGATTTCTACTTTTATACCATTGTGATCAGAAAAAGTGCCTGATAGATTTCAATATTTTAAAATTTGTTAAGACTTGTCTTTTAGCATAACATATGATCTGTCCTGGAGAATGTTTCATATGTGCTTGAGAAGAATCCGCATTCTGCTTCTTTTGGATAGAACGTTCTGTAAACATCTGTTAAACCATCTGGTCAAACATACTGTTTACATCCAGTGTTTCCTTACTGATTTTCTGTCTGGATGATCTATCTATTGTTGAAAATGGCATACTGAAGTCTCCTACTGCTCTACTGCTGTTTCTCTCTTCAGTTCTGTGAATCTCTGCTTTACATATTTAGGTGTTCCTATCTTAGGTGCATGAACATTTACAAATGTTATGCCCTCTTGATAAACTGACCCCTTTATCATCAGAAATGAAATTCTTATTTTCAAAGTCAATATTAAGTTCATATATTAAAATAACCACTTACCTTTAAGAGCTTCACAGTGCTTTTTAATTGCTACAGGAGTCAAATGTAGAAAATTAGGGATCTAAAATAGAGGGAAATAAAGGATAAATTAGCCTAATGTCTCAAAAACATAAAGTTTAGTTTTCATAAAAATAAGTCCTAAACACAACAAACCTTTATAATAAATAAGACCTAGTTTTTACAATATTAATTCTATGTCACATGTATTGTGAATTCAATAAATGAATTCCTTGAAATAGAGATTCATGATGTATCTTATGATGATGATAGTGGAAAAAAAAAATGCTGTTCTTATAGTCCTCTTCCTGCCACAAATCTACAGGTCTACATATTTCCCTTATAATACTGAAAGCACTGAAGGACACAGATTATTGTTTAATCATCCTAATTCCCCTAGTATACAAAAATAACTATTCAGGCTCCGACAGTCTTAACACTTTGGTTAACATCTAATCATCTCTATAAAAAAATATATACATGTATATAATTTTACATAAATGGAAACTTTTTTAAAAAATTTTAAAGATTTGTTTATTTGAGAGAGAGAGAACACAGGTGAGAGGGGCAGAGCAAGAGAGAGAATCTCAAACAGACTTGTCCTGCTGAGCGTGGAGCCCACTGTGGGGCTCAATCTCACAACCCTGAAATCATGACCTGAGCCAAAACCAGAAATCAGATGCTCAACCAACTATGCCACCCAGGTGCCCCTAAATTAAGTTCTCTTCTTTCATTTGAAGAAAAGATTAGTTTCCTCAACATTTGTTTTCTTCTATCTCTTGAAACATTCACAACTCCAAATTTCATCTACCCCTGTCTCTAGCAGCAGACAACTCCTTTTCCATGTTACCAACTCATTTTTTACCATCATCTTTTAGCAATTTTTTTTGTTTTTCAAGACTTTCAAATATATGCTAAATGAAATAAATCAGAAAAAGACAAATACCGTATGATTTCACTTACATGTGTAACCCAAAAAACAAAATAAACAAAAAAGCAGAAACAGAGCCATAAATAAAGAGAACAAACTGATGGTTGTCAGAGGGAAGGGGCATGGAGGGATGAGAGAAACTGGTGAAGAGGAATGAGAGATACAGGGTTCCAGTTATGGAATAAATAAGTCATAGGGATAAAAGAGCATAGAAAATAAGTTAATGGTATTTTAATAGTGCTATATACGACAGGTAGTAGCTACATTTGTGGTGAGCATAGTATAACACACAAACTTGTGGAATCACAACATTGTACACCTCAAACTAATGTAAAATTGCGTTGTCAACTATACTTCAATAAAAAGAAAAGAAAAAGATTCTCATATAGTAGAAAACACAATTCATATGTTGACAACTGTACTTGTATATAACATTAAACATCTAAGATATGTATTCTCAGGCTAACTGTATTCATATTTTCTTTAAAAAGTTTATAGTTGGGATCCCTGGGTGGCGCAGCGGTTTGGCGCCTGCCTTTGGCCCAGGGCGCGATCCTGGAGACCCGGGATCGAATCCCACATCGGGCTTCCGGTGCATGGAGCCTGCTTCTCCCTCTGCCTGCGTCTCTGCCTCTCTCTCTCTCTCTGTGACTATCATAAATAAATAAAAATTAAAAAAAAAAAATTAAAAAAAAAAAAGTAAAAAAATAAAAAGTTTATAGTTCACAAATAATTATAGACGCTACCAACTAAAGCATTTAATATGATGTATTTTCCTTCAAGAAATAAAGACGTTTAAGGACTATAACAATATTAAATAATATTCTACCTTTCTGGATAGAAAGTTTTAAAATCTCTTTTAGAAGTAGATTTCAAGGCCGCCTCTGTGGCTCTGTCAATTATGGATTTGCCTTCAGCTCAGGTCACAATCCAAGTTCTGGGATGGAGTCTTGCAATGGGATCCCTGCTCAGTGAGAAGCCTGCTTCTCCCTCTCTACCTCTGCCACTCCCCCTGCTTATGTTCACTCTCTCTTAAATAAATAAAATCTTTAAAAAACTTAAAAATAAATAAATAAATAAATAAATAAATAAATAAATAAATAATAAATAAATAAATAAATAAAATAACACAGATTTCAGCCCCTAATTCTCAATCTCAAATTAGGTTATTTCACTTTTCTTAGTTCCACTTAAAAGATACGATAAGAAAATGCAATAGAAAAGAAGAAGCCAAAAGGGAAGCCACAGGACCAATTGATTCCATTCTGAAATGCCCAAGGTTCTTTGAGTCTTCTTTACCATGGGCAGTCAGAATACAATATCCATTATTACCTGAAATAACATTTTTTAAAAGATTTTATTTATTTATTCATGAAAGACACAAAGGGAGAGACAAGCAGAGACATAGGCAGAGGGAGAAGCAGGCTCCATGCAGGAAGCCCGATACGGGACTCGATCCCGGGACTCTGGGATCATGCCTTGAGCCAAAGGCGGACGCACAACCCCTGAGCCACCCACGCATCCCTGAAAAAAATTTTTTTAAATTAAAATATAGTAAGCTGTGGCTACATAGCAAACTTTGAAGTACAAGGCAGGGTAGGAATGGGAAGAGAATCAGCATTTACTTCGATATAAGTCTTAGCCAATGAATCAGCAATTTATCTTACCTTTAAAAGTTCTAGATTTCCCTCTTTTGCCATGGGGACCCCCCTTTTTACTGGATAACCCATTCGAATGGGAAGAGGTACAGCAGAGGGTTTAAACGGTGCTGCAACAGGATAAACACTAGGCCAGTCTTGGTCAACAGTCATTTTCTCCGTCCTAGGAGGTAGTGCCTAAGGAATATAAAAATGCTTTAAATATGATCATCTTTAATTTTAAAGCAAAAAAGCTACAATTAAAAGAAACATTAGCAGAATTGCAACCTATATAAAATCTGACCTCTTATAAAGCTGCTGCTATTCAAATGAAAAAACACCAAACCTACGTAATATTTTTGCACCATTTCTGCAAACCCTCTGGTAAGAATCTGCCCCCCCCCCTTTTTAAGAATCCCCTTTAATAGCACATTTCCGTCACTAAAAATTTCTCTCAATGGATTTACTTAGACTTTTAGCAAATTTTTTACATTTTGTGGAACAGTAACAATGTATTCTGAAATACTGATCTTCTTCAACTTACCATGAGTTTATTGGCATACTCAGTGTCCCAATCATAAGTTGAAAATGCTTTTAAATACGTCTAACCTATTGAACAGCAGAGCTTAGCCTAGCTTGCCTAAAATGTGCTCAGAATGCTTATATTAGCCTACATTTGGGCAAAATCATCTAACAGAAAGCCTATTTTATAAAGTGTTGAATATGCCATATAATTTATTGAATACTGTACTGAAAAGTTAAAAAAAATGGTTATATGGGTACAGAATGGTTGTTAAGTCTATTGGTTATTTATTTTCATGACTATGTGGCCAGCTGGGAGCTATGGCTAATAGCCATTGCCCAGCACTGTGAAAGTTTCACACCCCATAATGGTAGCCCAGGAAAAGATCAAACTAATTGAATAAATATGTAATGAGAAATTATGTCTCCTAGTTCCAGAGAATTCTCAGGGTATTGACAAAAAACAAAGACTACAGCCAACGCTCTGGCAGTTACCAAGTCCCCATCCTTTGTAAGCCTTCTTGGGCAGCAGTTTCCTGCCTCATCATGAATATCTGCCTCACTTTAGAACTTGAGAAACCATTAAGATAGTATACAGTGGAGTACTTTAATTGTTTTACCTTCCTTCTCAGTGGTCTTTCATGTCTGGATGTTCTGTCTCCTGTACCTAAAAAGACAACACCATAATTATGGAAAACTGAATAATGTACAGTCATTCAACACTGATCATGATCCCATAACAAAAATGAAACAATAATCCATTTTCTCTAAGACTAGATCATCTTAATGAAAGTCAGAAGTAATTAAGAAAAGTCCAGAGTTACTTAAATAGAAAGTGCATTGTGATTGATGATACAGTAAACTCATCTAAAGAAATATTTTCAATAAATTTTCAAGGTTCATAGTCAAACTCCCTTTCCCAAGTTATGTTAATTATAAACATACTTGCTCATATTTGGAACTATTTGGTTCCACCAAAAAAAAAAAAAAAGACCATTTTCCTTCTGTATTACATATTCGAACTGCCAATGCTACAATAATGCCAATAACAAAAATGGTCATTCCTAATAAATCATATAACTATAGAAAAGAGTAAATTATTTACATACAGTATATACCTTTCAAAATATTACCTTACGCCTGTTTTGCTACATTACACTAATAATAGCTATAATTATTCAGCATTTTCATATACCAGATACTCAACTACATGCTTTTTACTATAGCTCACTTAATCTTACTGTTCACAGTAACTGTAAGTACTATTATTATCCTTATTTAGAGGTCATTTAGAGTCAAGAAAACTAAGGATCAAAGAGTAAGGATGACAATGGTATTTCCTACAAGACTCTTTACACTCTGAACCACTTCTATCTCTAGCTTCATCTCCCTTCACAAGGTCCCACAGCTACACTAAATTTCCAGTACCAGACCCCTTTGGACTTTCTCCAAACTTACCATTCTTTCTGTGGGGAATGTGCCTCCCTTCCATCTGTCTGGCTTCTCTCCCTCTCTGCCTCCCCACCTCATTTCTTTATCTGACAAATCTTATTAAGCCCTTGATAGTAACTCATTTATTCATTCAAAAATCATTTGAGTGATATTGTGTACCAGAAACGGAGAAGGCAGCAATGAACAAGAGAAAGACCCTGCTTTCACAGAATGTAGTTTCTGTCAAATAAGATCACTAATTAACATACTGCATACGGCAACATATAGCAGGGGACAAAACACAGTCAATTAGTTGGAGAAAATCTCCCTAAAGAACTGGATGTTAAGCTAAAACCTTAAGGATGAACAGGAGGTAGCCCTGGGAACAGGCAAGTGAGAAAAGTGTTCTATGGAGAAAAGGAGATGGAAAATCAATGGAAAAAGTTCAATATGGCTGAAACTGAAGACTAGAACAGAAAGAGCACTGGGAAAAAAGGTTGGAAATATTTAATAAGCACCTCAACTTATAACACATCATTGACAAGAGGTCTTGATTTTGTTCTTCCAGCCTTACTGATCCCTGTAAATGATACTGCTCTTTGTCCAATTGCCCAGGATAAAAATCTAACAGGCTTCCTGAGACTTTTCCTCATGCCCCCCTAACAAATCCATCAGTAAGTCCTCCTAGCTGTACCTTCAAAATATATCCCATATCCAACCACACCACCTTCTCTGCTATTACCTCAGTCTAACTCACCACCATTTCATTTGGGCTACTGCAAAAGCTTCCAAACTGATCTCCTGTATTTCACTCTTATCCCCACCAAAATCTGTTTTCCACACAGTAGTCAGCGATCTTTTAAAAGTATAAATCAGAGGCGCCTGGGTAGCTCAGTTGGTTAAGCATGTGACTCTCAACTGCAGCTCAAGTTATCATCTCAGCATCATGGGACTGATCCCCACGTCAGGCTCCACGCTCAGCACAGAGTCTGCTTGTCCCTCTCCCTCTGCTCTTCCCCTGCCCCCGCTCAAATTAATTAATTAATTAAATTTAATTAAAGTATAAATCATTTCCATGTTCAAAACCTTCCAATATAATCCCAAACTCATAATAAAACCCAAACCAAATGCATAAAAGCCATTGTGAGACCAGATCATTACTTATCTTTCCAACATCTTAGACTACCACTCTATGTTCACTCACCTACAAGCTGACTTTCTTCTGTTCCTTGATCACACCTCTAGGCTTGTTCTCACTTCCACGCCTTTGCACTTGCAGATCCCTATGCCAACAATGCTCTTTCCCTGCATCTCAGCATGGTATATACTTTGCTCAAATGTCAACTCAAGGAGGTCTTTCCTGATTACCCAATCTCTTCCTACTCTAGAGCCAGTATCCCTCTAATCCATCACCCTCAATACCCTGCTTTATTTTCCTTCAAAGCACTAATCACCACCTGACATCACACTGACATTGTTTTGTTTACAGTCTGACTTTCCCAAAAGAACGTAAACTTCATGAGTTGAGAGATCTTGCTATATCCCAGTACCTGAAACACTACCCAGCACACAACAGGAGTTAGGTATCTATAGAACGAATTAAAAAAAAAAAATTTAAAGGACACAAGCATTAAGACTATCAAGAGCCGCTCTGACGAGTTAAGGAATTTATCCTATCTTAGAGCAGTGAGAAACCGTTTGCAGATTTTGAACACGGGGGTGGCAAGGTTAAAGACTCGCTTTCTGAATACTTCACTCCGGCTGTGAGACTTCAACGTAGGAGACCAGGAGTACAAACCGGGACCGGTAAAGAAAACTACCGTCGAAGCGAGAGAAAGATGGTGCACCGTGGATGCTACGAAGGTTAGAGACGCTAGTTACAGACGGCAGCATGGACAGCACCTGGTGAATGACTGGACGCGCCCCCTCCTTGACTTGGCTCTCCCGCACTCCCGTGCGCTCTTCCTCACGCCCCTGCGTTAGTTACTGTGTGCACGCTTCCATTACAACCCCTCGCACTGCATAGAACAGGGCTCCGTTAACAAACCTCCCTTTTCCATAGACTCTTCCAAGGCAAGAACCGTAGCCTGAATGAAGCTGCCGAACGCCTGGTTGAGTGAAGGTCACGCCATCTGATGGCAGAGCTGGGGCTGGAATGCAGGGAGCCGCAGTTTGTTCCAGGCCAGCTGCATGCTCCTCTTTAGCAGTCGAGCAAACCCACGGGTCGGCACTGCCCCCCGACCCCAAACCTCCGCGGGGACCAGTAACTACAGTGACCCTGGGCCGGTGGCCGCGCAAGGGAGCACGGGAAAGCGCAGGTCTCTGAGGACGTGAGGGGACGTGAGGGGACGTGAGGGGGCGGGGGGAGGGGCAGGCTCGCTTCGGCCAGAGCACCTAGGAGCACGAACCGCCGACTAGGAGCCCAGTGACACCGGCACAGAGAAGAGACCCACGCCTACTTCGGCTTTCCTACTGGGAGGGCCAGCGACAGGCCGGCGGAGGACGTACGGGCTCCCCGCCCCCCCCAAAGACCGTGAGGACTCCGCCACCGCGGCGGCCATCATGGATTCCGTATCCCGCCCTCTCACCTCCCTCAGAGCCCGGAGGCGACGCGACTGACACTCACGCGGGTTTGGTATCGCAGAGCGAGCGGCCGGAGTCACGGAGGTGCAGAAGGCTCGCAGGGTCCTGGCCCCCGGCTGCAGGACCAGCCCCGCGGGGAGCGTGGCGGCCGCCATGCCGGCGAGGACGGCAAGCCGCGCGGGACAAACGCCGTCGGGCGTCGAGGGGCGGGTCTGCGGCCGCTTCCGCGCAGGTTCGCCCCGCCCCGCCCCGCCCTCAGGGCGGGGAAACGGAAAACAGGTGGGCTTGCGGAGGCAGCCGCCGGGTCACCGGTGCAAGGAGATTACCCCAGCGCAGAAAAAGGAATGAAAAGAAAACAAAAAGGCTAAAAAAAAAAAAAAAAAAATCTAAGCAGCGAGTCCGAAGAGGACCATAAGGGGTGGGGGAAATGTGGCTTACAGAGAGCAAATGTGGTCTGGGTGGGATTCCAGATGGCCCAGGGGCCTAGCTCCTTTGCGGCTGCTGCTTTTCCACACTTTCTTGGTTTAAAGAAGTCTTGAGCTGCTGCAAGTGATATACATACTCAAAGGACGAGACAGTATCTGAGAGTAGTTCAACGGATGGCCTCTTTACCCAGGCTACTTGAGTTTAAAAATTGATTTTTTTTTTTTTTTTGGCTGAGTTGATCCTAATCAAGTTAATATAAAGTTCTGGGTGACATATTAGCATGCAGTTACACCCTGTGCATAGGCTGTAACTGTTATCAATGATGTGGTTAGCTCCTTTGTAGATCAGGTTAGAATTACAAAAAGTCAGGGCAGCCCGGGTGACTAAGCGGTTTAGCACCACCTTCAGCCTGGGGCCTGATCCCGGACACCCGGGATCGAGTCCCACATGGGGCTCCCTGCATGGAACCTGCTTTCCCCCTCTGTCTCTGCCTCTCTCTCTCTCTCTCTCTCTCTCTCTCTGTCATAAATAAATAATAAATAAAGTCTAGAGCCTGGGTGGCTAAGCAGTAAGCGTCTGTCTGCCTTAGGCTCAGGACGTGATCCTGGAGTCCCGGATCGGGATCCAGGCCCACATCAGGCTCCCTGCATGGATGGAGCCTGCTTCTCCCTTTGCTTGTGTCTCTCTCTCTCTGTGTGTGTGTGTCTCTCCTGAATACATAAATAAAATCTTTTAAAAAATAAATAAAATTAAGTCTAGAGGCCAGAAGCGGGAGCTCCCATGTTCTACCACAAGTCATCAATAGCAGAACCCAACAGGAAGACAGTAAAGGCACTTGAAAGTTTTGCACGTGGATACTTTACTAGGCCCAGCAGGAGAAAAAAGTTGTTCTCTTACCCCTGCAGCAGCCCAATGAGAGACCATCACAATTCAGCCAATGAAAAGCCACCATGCCTCCAACCCCCAGTACTCCACTGGACTTGGCCTGGGTAACAGTCCCTCCCAACTCCCCTCTTCTCTAACAGAGTAGTCCTCTCCTTTGTTTTCTGGCCTTGCCAATGGATTTGCCATAGCTTACATGTCCTGAATGGCAATTCTCCGCTAATCCCTAGTAAACCCATTTTTGCTCTAAAATAACTGACAGTTTTAACAATTCCTTGAGGGGGCAGCCCCCGGTGGCCCAGTGGTTTAGCGCCCCCTTCAGCCCAGGACATGGTCCTGGGGACCGGGGATGGAGTCCCACGTGAGGCTCCCTGCATGGAGCCTGCTTCTCCCTCTGCCTGTGTCTCTGCCTCTCTGTCATGAATAAATAAAATATTTTTAAAAAATTCCTTCTGGAAGTTCTGAGAATCTGTTTATGCCTCCCTCCTCGCTTCTGATGGTTTGCAGACAATCCGTAGCTTGTAGACACATGACTCCAATCTCTGCTTCTGTCCTCACATGGTGTTCTACCCTTTTTAAGATTAAAAGCACAGCCTTTTAGTCAGAAGGATGTGGGGTTTGAATCCAGGCTGTTTCTTTATGATCTGGGGAAAATCAACCTAACATCTCTGAGCTTTACTTTCATGGAAAATGGGAACAATATCTTCTTCAGGGCTGTTGTGATTAAGTCATTATGTTTCAGGATGCAGAATATAAATGGTGGCCATTGGAATTAAGCTCACGGTCAATACAGTAGTTATTTTTGCTCTCTCTAGTTTGTATATTTTAGTATGATGAAGTACAAGTCCTACACCATACACATTTAGGGACAAAAGGAGTATGAATCCTTCTGGAATTAGTTTATATTCAGATATTTCTCAATTTCTGAGCGAGAAGTTGAGACTTAGGTCTTCACCCTGCCTTCCTGTGCTTTCTTTTGGTCTGTCTCCATAAGACGTTAGTGGACAGGTATCACCAGAATTAGAGGAGCTAGAGAAATACTATTTTCCCAGGCATCAAGTACAATGAGGTTCTTTTCATATTAAAGTTAACTCATTTGTAATGCTGTCAACAGGCAATAATGTTTCATGCAATGTAAAGTATGTACATAGGAGTTACATAAGTTACCTAAGAATTACATAATTTTCAGTTGGAAAAACATTTTTTTAAAGATTTTATTTATTCATGAGAGACACACAGAGAGAAGCAGAGACATAGGCAGAGGGAGAAGCAGGCTTCCTGCGGGGAGCCTGATGTGGGACTCGATCCCAGGGCCTCAGGATCACGACCTGCGCTGAAGGCAGATGCTCAACCACTGAGCCAGCCAGGTGCTCCTGAAAAAGTTCTTAAAAATGCAGCCGCTTGCTTATGATAATCTTTACTTCAGCTTTTACGATCAAACTATGACCCCACAAGTTATGTAGCCAGTGCTGTGTGGAATGATTTTAAATAACAAGGTTTTTTAGAATGGGCTTTTATTATATCTAAAACCCGGATTAATCCAGTGACTTCTGTCAGAGAGCTACTTTTAGTAAGAATGAACTTTTTAAAAAGTGAGTGAACAAAGTGTGTCTACTCACAGGCAGGACAGACAATATCCAGGTATGTGAATGGACTTTGCAATCTAAATATCCATCAAAATAGTATTGCTTAAATATATTATGGTGTATACATACAATATAGATTATTAAATCTCATGCTGGGATGATGCAAGAGGATGAGCTTGTCTACTAAAGTGAAATATTTTTTTCTTTTTGCCTTACAGGCCAGTCTCATTGTGCACATTCAGTTCAGAGGATGCTAATATAAACTTTGCCCATCTCTCTCAGGCCATCCTCCTTACTCAGACAGTTCCCAATCAGCTCTCTGATGGAGACACAATCTTCCGTGTCCAGGACAAATTGTGCCACGGCCTTCCCTCCTGGCAGATGGCCCGTCACAGTCTCACTTTTGACACTGTCCAGGACAACTCCTCTGATGTCTTTGGGCTTTCCGGGCACCCCAAAGATGATAAACAGCCCCAGACAATCCTCTCCTATCAAGTTACAGAACTCTTCTAGCTTATCAAATCGACTTCTCTTCCTGGAAGACTCCTCTGCCTTGGATTCTAGATTTGAGAAGTTGTAAGGCTTAGATTCCACAGCAGGAAGAGAAGACATCTGCAGAGTCTGCACTGCCAGCTGAAGCCTGATTTGTTTATCAGATCCCCAAAAGGTCCAAACCCAGTCTGCACCAAACAGAACAGCTTGGTGCTTGGTCATCTTGGTGGTGGTGAGCCACTCATCAACTCCCTTTTCTTGGCAATAAGTAATAAAGTGGATTAAGAAGATCTCATTCAGAGTATTTGGGGCTGGCCACAGATTGCTGAGAGGATCTTCAAATCCAAGATACTCCTTCAGTTTCTGAGCTGCATGGACTATAGCTTCAGTGACCACCTCACAGACGTCAGAAACCTCTTTGCTGTCCTTCAGGGGTAACTGTTGCGATGATTTTTGCCCCATTTTCTCTGCATCTAATCAATGCTGCTTCCAAAGATCAAACATGTGAAGCTCATTCAGAATGACTTCTTTCAGAGTAGAAGTTTTACAGCGAAGTCACATCTGTTACTGCGGTCCCAGTTTTCCGACTACATCGATGTGGTGTAGCTAAGCATATATACACACAGCTAAACAAACATGTCAGGTCTCCCTGTTTGCTAACGAGGTGTGTTGTAGTCAGCTTCCTGCTGGTTTATTAAGTTAGAGATGATTAACTTTCATCAAAAACACCTGTTCTTTTCCAGTTGTATTCACTCTACATCTAATATTTGGCAATCTCTTCCAAGATAGGTTTCTGCTTTTCAAATTTTACTACAATTAAAAATAGTATTTAGGGCTTTAAAGAACCATCTACAACTAACTTATTCAACTTTGCTGGTGAGTCACTTCCCTTCGCCTTTCTAATAATTCCTCTGCCTTTGATTCCTTACCCCCAGCCCAGCTGCCTGTTTCCTTTCATACAGAAATTCCTCAAAGTCCTCATATTTCTACCTGTTGATATGTGCTGGAACCCTCCCCCTTACACATTTATGAGAGCCTGCAAACTATATAGCATTTGTATCACTGTTCTATATTCCAGGAATAAAGCCTCCTGGGGATTCTGAACGAGAAAAGTAACAGACAATAAAAACATGAGACAATTATCAATTGACTTTATTTCTTTTCATACAGTAATACCAGCAGTGTACAATGTTTTGTAAATAAAATATATATCAAAAAAATTTTAACTTTATCACATACCATCAGTTATGTTACACTGCCCTGAATAAAGAATATTTGGCATCTATAATAGTCTCCTGGTATTTTTTAACCAGATTTGAATAAGAAACTTTTTCAAATAGTGACATATGTTCACATTAAAACAAAACACTAATATTTAAGAGTCCAATACAGTCACCAAACGATGAATGGAAGGGAGCAAAAGATTATTAGCATCAAATCATTTTAGTTACAAATAAACTGTAATTTAGTATTACAGGCCCTTTGTTGAAAAGCTTGGTAACCTGTTAATAGCTTGTAAGATCATACCAGTGACATTCAAATATGACTTATAAGCAAGTCCACTGGCATATATCAAACTGCCCACCCCATGCCAGTTTTGGAAAACCTGTCTTTACGAAGTTGGCTACCAGGAGAAGTGATGCAGTGAATAAAAAATAGGGTATTTTTTTCTAATACCCCTAAAAAAAATGATAAACACAGTAAGTTTTTGCCACAGCTATTTCCTTTATAAATGCTATTTGGGCCCTGTGCTATAGAAAAACATGAACTACATGTTCTCATCACAATATAGCCATTATGAAACTCATTTTGCAGCCTCAGCGTTACTGAACTCTGAGACAAACTGTTCAAATATCCAGCTTCTTAAAAAAAGAATCCCATTCACTGATAGCCTGAGACATGTAGAATTAATAACATTAGGTATATTGTTAGTATTTTGATGTAATGATATATTTAGCAAAAAGGAAAATAAGCAGCTTAATACTGTAAAGTTTTTTGTTTTTGTTTCTTCAGGAATCATTTCTACAAATCTGGCGGGAACTTCTGAATCCATTCGAGTTAATAGTATTTTAAGCGTCCCTGGAGTTCTTCCTTTTGAGGTGAAAGGATCCAAGGTGAAGGTTAAAACCTTTTAACTCTTCAATGGTTTTGTGATGTGTCATCAAAGAAGGAGTATTTCAGTTGGGATGATTGATATTAATATCATTTTTAACATCATTAAAATTCAATTATGGAGAAGGACGATCATCCCGACTTTTCGGAAAACCAGTTAGTGTATGGCAATTTTGAGCACTCTTTTTGCTTTTCACTGTCTTCCTTACGTCACAAAATAAAAGTTCTAAATTCTATGTACTAAATATATACACATATTTAGAAAAATATATAAAATAGGACAATAAGAGGCAAGTGGAGATGTGGCTGGCATTTAGTGGGCACACTGAATGCTTGAAGAAATTCCACATACTGATTTTGAAAGCATGTAATATCTCATTTTGATGGCTGCAGTGCTGTCACACGAACATGACAAAATCATTCATGCACTGCTTCCTGCTTCCCAAATCCTGCATATTGTGAATGTGAATGGAAACACTATGGTAAAACAGTCATATTAAATGCAACACTTTAAATATAATATATCACAGATTTTTACATTAAATAGAGGAAAGACAATTATACTCTTATTCACCAGTGTCTCATTTTTCATGGCATCTTCAGAATAGGCACACACTCCCTGCTTTCCATTTCCACTTCTGAGAAGGTGGGATAAACAATATACAATCTGCAGCTTGTTATATATTCTGTGAGTGTTTGAGAAATCAAATGGAGAATAGGTGAGGGAGGCTCCTAATGTTCATCCAAGTGCTGTGGTTAAACATTGGAGTCTTCATCTGTAATGCTGGCACTGGGGGAACGGGCAGCGAAATCTCTAAACATGTCGTCCTCCTTCAGCATGTGCTAGAAAACAAGAAGACGGGGGTCACACACCCTGGGAGCCAGGAGCTCAGATCTACATATCCTCCACTGAACGTGCAGCCCTTTGGGGTTATTTTTAAACATCTTTTATTTTTTAAAAGATTTGAGAGGGAGAAGGAGCACGCGCACGTGCACGCATGCACAGAGGGAGGCGGAGAAGCAGACTCCCTGCTGAGCAAGAAGCGGGAATGTGGGGCTCCATCCCAGGACCTTGAGATCATGACCTGAGCCAACGGCAGAGGCTTAACCAGCTGAGCCACCCAGGCACCCCCTAGACATCTTTTTTTATCTTATTTGATGATTATTTTTAAAGATTGTATTTTTAGGGCATCTCTATGCCCAACATATGGCTTGAACTCACAACCCCAGGATGAAGAGTCGCATGCTCTGTGGACTGAGAGAGCTAGGCGCCCTTTAGCGTAACATTTTGACTTCATCTTACAGACTTACTGTGAGATTGTTGATGCCTTCAGAGAATGCTCCTATCTGTCTCACTGTCCCTTCTGAATCTTCCATCTGCAAAGAACATACCATCCCATGACCTATGCGTTTGAATGCTCTTAAAGAAAGTATAGCAAAATGAGCAAAAGTCTAAGGAGAAATAATGAAAAGTGCTACTGAATGGGATAGGCAAGACCGAACACTTCTGACGATACCTCCTTTCTTTACAGCAACTAGATGTTAAAAACAAGATGGAACAACACTTTACTGACTTTACTGGCACATCTAACCTAATGCTCTGATGCTGACAATGACATTAAAAGATTGACGATAGAAGGCAAATTTCAAATCCATGACTTCGTACTGAAACGACTACATGAGCTGTGTATTTCCAACTGGATTTGATACACAGATTTCCTTAATACAGAGACAGGATAACACAGGTGAACAGCCAGGCTTTGAAGCTGGCCTGGCAAGTTGGAATCCCACCCAGTTCTTCTAGCAGCTCTTCTATCTTGGGTAAGTTACTTAACCTTGCCAGGCCTCAGTTTCCTTCTCTTTAAAAGGAGGATAACAATGCTCCGTATGTTTTAGGGTCACCGTGAAAGTCGACCTATGTTAAGTGGTGAGGATAGTGCACTTATGAGTAACAACTTATGGACGTTGTTGACTATTATTTTATTATTATCTTTATAATCTTTATTTTATTATTATCTTTATTTGAGGAAAAACTGATTAGTAGACACAGTGCACAACGCTTCCATTTAGCATTTCTTTGCTGGAGGAACTTTAAATAAAATACGTATACATTATTGCATTTACCTGCTCTAACCGGTCCAAATCATCTTCATCATACAGGCGCATGTCCAAACCAGGTTTAAATCCTTTCTTAGATGTACTTCCTGATGCCTGTCCCAATTCCATTGGACAAACATATTCTTCCCCATCTTCCTGTTTCTTCTTTCTCAGATTCCCAAAATTGCTAAAGGTAAGTTTCTTTGGCTTTAAAAGAAAAGCAAACATCCAGGGATTCAATAAAATTCATATGACGGAGGACTGATCATATGCATAATTTAATTACTCCATCTATAGAGAAAAGCAATTGGATAATTAAATTGCTGTGACAAAAATAAAAGCATCCTGGGTGTATGATTGATGCACCCAAATGTAATAAACAATCCTTATTATGCATCTCGGAGGATTAAGCTTGTTTCTCCTTATTCACACCAATTAGCTGGGTAGTCACTGTGATAAGCAAAAAATAATGCCAAGGGCATTAGTTTTGATTAAACAGGACTTAAGGCAATGAGATTTCTCAGGGATGGGTCCAATCTTATAAGATTTTTCCATCTAAGATCAGTAAAAGAAAATGGTCCTATGTTTTCTTTTCGAGTAAAGCTATGATTATCCTGTATGCTTGCTATGCTTCCATAACAGAACTGGTGGCTGCTAAAAGAATCCTCACTCGTGTGAGAGAGAACTCCCAGTGAGACTTGGGAGAGAGACTCCATCTTAGTCACTGAATACTCCCTGAGACTCTCTGTTAAGCGGATTGGTGATCAGGCGATGCCGAGAATTTAAATAGAAGCTATCAGAAGTTTCAAATCTGAAACTTCCTTTAAGGGAGAAAGGGAGCCAAAGAAAAAATGTTGGGCAGGTAGAGGGGATAAAAAAAAATTAAAAATAAAAAAAATAAATGTTTATGTATATATGTATATAAAGAACGTAACATTTGTGGAGGAGCTGATAAACCCTATCTCCACATTAAGTTGGCTGAGATAACAGACTCAGAAGAGTTCACAGAGAAATGATTTAAAAGAAGAAAAAAGTAATCTAAATTTGGTATGACCCATGAATCTGGGTAAATCTGGAAATAGCCATTCTTTGCTGGTTTACCTCAAATCTTTTCTTAAGTATTTTTTTCTAACTTGCCAGACAAGTTGAATCTGTATGAGAAGAAATCCTCCTCTTACACTAGATTTATCTATAGAACAACTGCAATCAGCATTTGAGCCCAAGTCGTGGACTCTGCATTAGCAATATATCGACTGCATGCCAACATCGTACTCTTCATTACTGTTAACTCTAATAACATAAATGACTTGAACAAAGACTCCCCCAGAAAGAAACTTTCAAAAATGCATTTTCTTAATTACTCTTAAAGATGCACAGACCATTAACCCATCCATAAGACGTAATAAACCCCAGAAAAAGGGACAGTCAGGTCAAAACCAAGCCCTAGCTTTAGTTTTTGCTTTACCAATTATTAGAAGACACAAGTTTGAACCAACCTTCACTTTGGCAGTGGCTGTTAGAAGTACATAATCTGGTAACTCCATGGCATCACGTTTTTGGTGCTGAGCCTCAGCACCAATCAGAAGGTTGAAATGAGTGGCCAAATGTCTTCGCAAGAGGGTCTTACTTGGTGGGATGTTCAATAACTGAGCCATTGTTTCCACATTAAAACGAGGTTCTAGAACCTATAAAGAAATTAAAATTACTTAAGGCACCATATATCATACATGTCTGCATTGTGCTTTATAATTTGCAAAAAGCTCCTTCATTTAGTCATCACCAATGACCCAACAGCCCAGTGAGACAGACAGAGCATGGACTTCGATCTTTAAGCTATATATATTTTGCCTAAGCTAGTGAGAAGTAGAGCCATTCCTGACATCCACACACTACAAAGTTACGGCCTGTGGCTCTCTGAAGTGGTGCCTTCAGGATCGCCTTGACAAGCCAATTCCTTACAAGACATCAGTGTGCAGAAATATAATCTGTGTGTTGCCGGTGTCTCAAAACATGATCATAAGAGAGCCAGTGGCCAGATGCAACACAACATAAAAGACAATAAATGAGAAATGGGTTTAAATCTGCTGCAGCCTCGTATGACACAAATGAAAAAACATGGCAAGTAAAGACTCACTAGAAACAGTATAGGAGGATTCAGTTAGAGGAAAGTAAGATTGTGACAAGCAGACTGATAATACCTTATTCATTAGACTAATGGAAACTAAATGGTAAGAAGTCAGTTTTTATTTTTTATTTTTATTTATTTATAAGATTTTATTTCTTTATTCATGAGAGACAGAGAGAGAGAGAGGGGAGGGGAGGGCAGAAACACAGGCAGAGGGAGATGCAGGCCCCATGCAAGGAGCCTGATGCGGGACTCAATCCCGGGACTCCGGGATCGTGCCCTAAGCCACTAGGTGTCCAGAAGTCAGTCTTTAAATTAAAATGCAGTTTTACCATGAGCCCACCGTGGACGCCGCTGCCTCTGAGATTGGGGGCATATTCTGCTAAGTCCACGGAGCGCAGCCACTCCATCACCCGGTGGTTGGTCCACTGCTGAACTTCAGATGGCGTGATGTTCTTCTGTGAGAACAAAAAACCAACGAAAGCTTCAGTCAGGGACAACGGGATTCCAAGTGTTAAAACTGCAGGTAATAAAAAGTCTGCTTACAGAGCACAGTTACTCGACATCCCGCTAAGTGTTTACAGAGAGGGGAACAGGTGTTTACTGATCTGAATTTTGTTTTAAGGCATCTATGTCACCATTCCAAGATTTTTTAAGAGACTAGTAAAGCAGCACTTGAGGAAACCAAGCCTTTATAGTGACATTTAACTCTGTGGCTCAAAGAGGCAGGAAAATAAAATCCACCGAAGAAAAGGAGGAAGGGAAATTCAAAAACAACCTTTGGTTTTAGTTACACAGGTGGAATCATCATGGGGGGAAATGGGAGAAATATGGGAATGTAAAGCCCAAGAAGGTACAAGGCTGGATTTGAGGCTCTGAGGAACCAGAAGCTTTCCCTGTGGACCCCACAAAGAAATGAATGTTTTACACACACACACAGTCACATGCACGGGAAGGGCCTGCTATGTCAATCTCAATTACAGGCACTACCTCGTCAGACGGCCGCCTCCGCAGACAGTTCGGTTCAAAGTTATTGATCCTTAGGACCTGGATAGCTCTTTTGATACTGAGATGGTGGAGCACGCTCACGACCTTCAAAGACAGTAAGTCATCCTGCCAAAAAAAAAAAAGAAAAAAAGAACAAAAAGAGGAGCTCACTGAGCTGGCCCAGAACAGAAGGACCTTTTTCAGGGAAATTTCAGAAAGCACAAATAAAAGTAGAGCAGTCCCTCTACCAACAGGCCTCTAGCACTTGTGTTTTCAAACTTTTATTTGGTAATAGAACCCTTTTTCCTGTTTCAAACAAAATCCTCTCCAGGGCCCCAATATATTAAAAAAATAAATAAATAAAATTAATGTTGTACCAACAGAAGCCAACTTTTACTTGTTTCTTCTCCTCTAAACATATTGAGATAGGATCATGGGACCCCACAGTTCTGAAAACACAGTTTGAAAAGCACATGCTGTGTCACTGCAAAATTGATCCTCTTTGATTTGAGGCGATAAAGCAGAAAGCTAAGAGCATGTGATGTTCACTGATGATCACAGCTGGGTTTTCTGAGCTAAGGCACATCACCATTTTGGGGAAAACCAGAAGAGTATCTCTGTTATACTGTTACCCAACCTCTAGAAATCTCTAGTTGTAGATTATTATGCTTTATCTAGCAGACACTGTGAACAATTTTGGGAAAATTGTGTCGATCAATAAAAAGGTTTTGGTGGGAATTAAAGAGAAGAGAAATGAAAAAGTTAGAAGTAACAACATGTATCACCATCGATTCCTTCAAGGTGTAATTTCTCCAGTCTGTGGTTATTGGGAACATTTCAAACATACCAGACACACCAAAACAAATTATTTCAGAAGGTTATTTGGAGGGCGGTGTCAAGATAAGCACCAGTCTATTTCCAAACACACCCAGCAAATAAAATACAAAAACATCCATTTTAGACACACCTTATTGATAACACATTTCTGGAGGGTGGGGGGAGGTTAATCTGTTACAGAAAGTTTTTAAATAAAAATATTAGACAATCAGCTTAAATTCTTAAAGCTACTGAGCAAAATTAATTCCTGAATTTTTTGTGGATCCATTTCTTAAAGGCAGTGCCTTGTGATAAGACACTTAATATATCTTAATCTAAGATTGAGACACCCATCCAAACATTTCCACATGAGCTATTTTCAACTAATTAAACTCTATCACATTTTTTTAAATCTAAATACATAATGATTGCAATGTCTTGCAAATTATTTTATCTTAAGAGATTTTAAAAGTAGGGGCTATTTTCTTTTAAATCAGAAGATACCTTTTTTAGATTTTAAAAAATCTTTTAAGTAATTTTAGATTTACCAAAGAGTTGCCCAAAATAGAACAGAGTCCCATATACCCTGCACTCAGCTTCCTCTCACATTTACATCTTATATAACCATGATATAGTCATCAAAACTAAGGAATTAACATAGACAATAGAAAATGATAATTAAGCTACAGAAAACTCAAATTTCACCAGTTTTTCCACTAAGTCCTTTCTCTGTCCCAGGTTCCAACTCAAGATACCACATCCAAATGGATTTTTTGTGACTTAGAACTTCTGGGGTCAACTTTTCTAAGATAATTTATTCCTTTGTGGCCACAAAAGTGATACACAAATTTTCTTGTGATTTTAAGCCTGAATCTGCTCACATTCCTGCAGAACCATACCTATACCTAGACAGGAAGGCAAGTATTTACTGAATTTCTTCCAGGCTGAGCTACAGGGTAGGAATCTGGACACATCCTAAGTTCAAATGCCCTGTGACTCTTGACTGCTAGATCTAGATGCAGAAATTTGGTAAAGTTACCCAGTTTCTCAATTCTTTCATTCCCTCATTTGAAAACTGAGGACAACAAGAGTACTAACTCAAGGCTTGCTGAGACTTGAGTACTAATAGGAGTATGGAGCTTGAAAAAGGTGTCTGGCATACAGTAAATGTGCAATGTGTCACATGTTGGTGTTATTACAGGCAGGTTTACATTATGTGCCCACCAACATACGAACTTTGGTTCAATGAAAGAAAAAAAAATCCCATAAGATGAACCCCAAATTTATTTAAGATTTAAAAATTAGCTGTTTGAAATTTTCAACTTATTTAAAGAAGATACTTATGGTAGCTGGCTCCAGAGCCTCTCTCACAGAAGGTCGTTTAAATAAAAGCATCTAATGTCATAGGACACTAACAGTGCTATGGAATCTAGAACAAGTTCTCCTGGCATCCATCTCTCCCCACTCTTATCAAGTCCTTCTAACTCCTGGATGGAAGGATAAAAATATGAAAGCAGGGCAGCCTGGGTGGCTCAGCAGTTTGGCACCGCCTTCAGCCCAGGGCCTGATCCTGGAGACCTGGGATCGAGTCCCATGTCGGGCTCCCTGCATGGAGCCTGCTTCTCTCTCTGCCTGTGTTTCTGCCTCTCTCTCTCTCTCTCATGAATAAATACATAAAATCTTTAAAAAAAATATGAAAGCATAATGAAGGAATCAGAGAGTCTACCTCACCCTACTTCTTCACCCTCATGACTTCTGCCCTAGTGGAATGGGTCTGAAGTGAGAAAGGAAGCAGGTTTCAGGTAACATTCTTGAAAGTGGAAGGGAGGAGACAGGACAAGTCTCTGGATGTCAGATCAAAAGGATGGTCTCCTCTGAGCAGTCACTGCATATAGGAATGTGTAACTCAGAAACTTCTAGGGCTTCAAAACCCTACAGTTTATTTTTTAAGCATCTTTAGGAGATATAATTCACATCCCAGAAAATTTTTTCATTCAAAGTTTGGACTTTAGTGTCCACATTGTTGAGTATATATAAAACCAACTTCCTGGACAGCTTAGATTAGATTAGGTTTCACATAGCTTAAAAATCAGGGTTTCAAATCTCTCAGATCTCTTTGATGATCTCAGGATCATCAAATCCTCCAAATTTAGCTTAACAGAAAATATGCCTGCTCTTCTCAAATTAAGGTAACACCTTTAAACTCTGGTGGAATATTTGTGAAAACAATCTATTTTGCTCACTATTTCTGTTTTTCAGAGAAAAACAATTTTGCTCCCCCCAAATCCCAGGAGTGAATCACTTACAATAGTCATATAATGGAGCATTCGACCATCTACTCGTCCTTCGTCAAACTGGGTCTTGTACTGAGGGAGACCAATATCATCCAACCATCCTAAAGGAGAGAAATCAGTATTGTTAGTAAGCCACAGAACACCTGTAATGAATGAACAAATAAGTGAATCTAAAACCTCTTACTAGTGACCCAGTTGAAATCCAGCTTTCCATGGTTGGTTTCTTCTTCAGATCCCAGGGCTTGCAGTGCCAGCTGGAGTTTCTTTCGATGAAGTGAATGCTTAATTCCAAGTTCCTGAAATAATAAACAGAAACACTGGCTTTACAATTCTGTCAATATGAGCTGGATGCCACTGGCAAAGATGCAAAATCCCCCCAAAAGGTTGCTAGTGTTAAAGACTCAACAATCATATTAAATCAACATATCAACTCAGGCTAGTAAAATGTTGCTGAACAAAAGGCCCCTAGAAAGCCAACACCACTGCAAATTACTTTCATGCTATGCTCCATTCCTTAGTAGGCTCCTTCCTTTGCAAAATGTACAAAAATTTAAATAATTAGGATGAAATGTTAAATTATTAGAGCTAAAATGTCGGGCTCTTCTCTTATTTTTCCTTTTTGCAAAGTAAATTGCATACGTTACATTGAGAAGTTGGGCCAAGGCTGAAGCCACACAATGATTTTGAGAAATATGAGCTTAAGGTTTTTTATGTCTATACAATTATTTCTCATTAAAACGTCCAGTGGCTTAATGTTTTATAAGGAATATTAAGACCAGGTCCTTCTTGTTAAGTCCATGAGATTAAAAAAAAAAAAATGCGAAGCAGAAAACACAAAGTTTTTCAAGAGTATTTACTGGCTCCACCCACTACCCTTCTGGAATATAAAACAATCCTACGTTCATATTCTCTTTCTCAGAATCCATTGTTTAAACAAAACAGAGAAGCAGTCACCTTCTCTAGATCTTGCTGAGAAGCCTGCAGAAGTGTTTGGCCAGATGCAATCCAGTGCTTGCCAGAATTCAGGTAGGATCCCAAGCCCTGTTCCACAAGCCAATCACAAACCTGCTCCTTGGTCCATTTGGCAAATGGCATATCCAAGTCACTATAAGAAAACAATTTCATGAAAAATAATTCAAACCCAACCCTATGGCTTATCAAGGTTGGACAACTGTATACTGAATTGATATGGAAATTACCTGGCAATAACCATTTGACCATGGAAAGCTTACTTTTCAGTACATATTTGGAGGAGGAAGTGGCACTTGATTGAAAAGTTACCTTATAAGACCACAGCTTGCATTTCAAATGGAACCACAAAAGACTCAATGTGACTGAGCCAGAATGTGTTGTATGGAAGAAACGCAAGTTGAACAAAAAAGTCACTGTACCAGTTTCAATCAATGTTGTTTGAAGACTAAATTCCCAAACATAAAACACCAGGTTAGATGGAAAGAAATCAAATCTAACTTGAATTAACTTTAGCAGAATTATGATTTCTCTCCAAAAGGTAATCAATGAGAGCAACATGTCATCATTGTATATAGGAAAATGTAATCACAGCAGGTTTCTGGGGTTTTTTTTGGTTTTCTACTTTGACACATAAATAGTGTTCCTTTTTGGAAAAAAAAAAAAGTATAAACAAGAATTTTTTTTAATAGCACAAGGAGATCCTCTACTGTGTACAAAGAGAACATATGGCAAATGAGACTCTTCAGTGTTTGAAGAAAGCCAGTTTCCTCCTTGATGGCACTTGTACCATGTTCTGCGAGGGTGGGAGCGACCATGTTCAAAAGATTTAGTGTCCATGATTTGTGCTACATGTTTGCCAACTCCACCCTTTTCATGCTTAGTAGGTCACTACAGTAATTTCAAACCAGCCCTAAATTGTGATAAAGGGCATAGGAAAAGTTCATAGTCTTAACAGATAAAACATTATGTAGTCCTGATAAATTTAGGAATTCTGATAGAATTTATGTCTTTAGGGGCTTTCACAGACTCCATAACATTAATGTTCATTGGAACAGTTACTATTTGCCAAATACTTCATGCATATTAACACCTTTAATCTTCACAATTACCTTCTGGGGAATGGACTAATTAAAACTATGGGAAACAGAGGCACAGAACATGGATATAGTTGCTCAAGGTCACTTAGGTTATAGGAAGTGGCAAGGCCAGAAATCAGATCCAAGCAGTCTGTTTCTAGAACCTACTCTTAACAACTGTGTTATCCCATCTCTCTAGAGCTATCCTTTAGAGTACTTACAGTAACTATTTTCTCAAACTTAAGTCCAAGAATCATTCTAGCACAGATGCTGCTAACACTTTAGCTCTGGTTCCTCCCCTAGCTCACGTAGCCCTCATCTTCTATATGGTTTTCACCAACCATTGCAAAATTGAACTGCTCTAAAAATAATGGACTCTTCCACTAGGCACAGCAGTAAGCAATGGATTCTACTGTCTAACCCAGGGACAATACTAGCAACACTGCAGCTGCTCATGGCCTTGACACTTGGGCAGAGATGTAAAAGTCCATTCATTGGGCTGTTCTCACCTGTTAGATTGTCCTAAATCTCGAGACCAACCCAGTCGTGGCCCTGCAGTTGCCCTCATTCCTCCTCTTTTGAATTCAGGCTCAGACATGTCATCTGGGTTGAACGTAGTTGATTGACTTCTCCTAAGTCTGAACAGAAGACACAATACCACATTGCCTCATATGAGACCTGAGAAGGCCTTGGACTTTAAAGTTAATCAGAACATTGCTTATGCATGGTCAGAATAGATATTTGGACTTAAACTTTAACAGAGATCCAATGAGTTAGTAAATCCCAGATCACAATATTCCTTCCATAAAGGAACACCAAAGCCTTACAATTTCATACTCATTTCCAGCCAACTTTCCATTTATTCCTACATTTGGGCAACATACGATACAAAGACCACTCCATTTGTCTGACCTGTTACTTACTTTCCAAAGAGTTTCATGATACCTCTTGATTTCTTTTTGGAATCTGGTGATGGTGGAGATATCTGGAAAGGACTGCTTCCGTGCGAATCTTTTGGCCGGGAAGATATACCAGCCAGATCTAGGTGCTCAGCCGTCTCCTTCTCTGTTTCAGCTATTCCAAGAACAGAATACATACTTGGTGAGTTTTAAATATGGAATGATCATGACTAGATGCTAACTTTCTTGGTTTTAGCAACTATTAATGAATTCTTCATCTGTTGGTCTATAAATCAACAATTTACAAAGGGCACCCTACAAATATTAAAAATGGAACACAAATGCACATTCTGCTCTTCGGTTTCTTGTGTATAAATTAACAGTGCGTATAATATTGTGTATGCTATTGTGCCTAAATCCATTAACTCACAAATTACAACCTTTCTGAGATTCAAAGGTGTGATAGAATTGCCATATTCTTTCCTTGAGTGATTTGAATTCGTAATGAAATCATTCTCCATCTTCCTGTAGTGCTTGGTACTGTTGACGCCCTCCCACATTCTTCAAAATCATCATCTCTTTCATCTTCTTGGTGTGACGCTCTCCCAGATCTGTCATCTGATAAGTTTCTTCTTGGCTATGTAGCACCTGTTTTCTCTTCCTCTTCCAGAGATTCTGTTCTAGGTTCCCCATGCAGGATCTCTGGAAAAGCTCATCCACTTCATGCTCAGCACTAGATGATGGCTTCCCTCATATGTAAGCAGCTGATATCCCAATCTCTGGACCTAATCTCTCTCTTCAGACTTAGTATCTGAATGTCAATAGATATTCCCAATTTGGTGTGCCGGGAACATCCAGGACTTAACGAATCCACCCAATTTTCTGGAGACGTCTCCTAAGTTTTCTTTTTTAAAAAATTGTCTTATTTAATATTCTCTTAATACTAATTAATCTTCTTCCTGTTACTCTGGTGCAAACTCTTTGTCATTTTCTTTTCACTCCCTCCTCCCCTTTGGCATTTACATCAAATCCCAGTTGCCAATTTCTGGCAATTCTTTTTTCAAGAGTTATTCCTAACCTGCTGTGTCCTACTGAGAAAGGAATGAACTGGATATGCATAAATTTTTCTTTTGATATAAAAATCAGTGCCTGTTGATTCTGCCTTGGAAGAGTAACATCCAAATTTGCTACCACCATATCTCCCAGTGTTAACTCTCTTAATTCTTTTATCTGTCCCTTAATGCACAATCCCATGCTAACAAACACAAGGGGTACTGTTGCCTCAATGTGAGACTGTACACTTTTTAGGGAAAGTAGAAGTGTACAAAAAACACAAACAGTGTTTCAGCAAGATATAAAAGTTGCAGAGCTTGACTTTTCTATGAAGCACAGCTGTGATTACAGGTTATCATAAGCAGCACTTGGCTCTTAGCATTGACAATATATTTCTTCTAAGAAAGATGCAAAAACATTTGAAAATAGTTGTCTGGGCTTCATTTATCCCATGTTTATTCTAGAAACGTAAGACTACAAAGAGAAGTCACCTTTGCCGACCCACATGAATAGGTACGTGGGTATCTACATAAGATGATAAAACCCACAGGGAAAATCCAAAGGAACCTTTCCATCCAACCCCAAAGCCATCATGGGTACACAGGTGTACCAAAAAATGTTGCTTAACTCACCCTCATTTTAAAATCCTATTTTTATTTTTTTGTTTTGAGGATGTTTTTTCCCTACCATGCCCCACATTTTTAAAGAGGACAACTGAGCTTCCCTTCTCCTAAAATCACTTTGGGAGCGATTCCTTGGATATCACATAAAGAAGCTTCCTCTGGTGTCACTAAATGTTACCTCCATCTTCAAAGCAAATAAATGTCAGGAGAATGTTCCCTTAAGAAAAGTAAGTTTAAAATAATCATTTTCAGTGTCTTCTACGGACTTCTCTATTTGGCTAAAAATATTTCTCTCTGGGGAAAAAGCAGCCATGGCGAAGGAACTGCCAGGACCTGGGAGTTAGTGTGCGGCAGTATGCACTTGAAGGGTGAAAAAGCTGGAATTTAAGATGCAGGAGAGTACTGCCCTGGATGCGGAGGGGTCTGTGCACTTCCAGGTCCTCCCAGAGCTACTCGCAAGGTGTCATTAGCATGGGTTAAAACAGCATTTAGGCTTGAAAGCAAAGGCTCTACAGAGTCCATTTTAGCAGAAGGCGGAAGGAGGTCTCTGGAGTAATGGACAATGTTTTCTGATTGCTGCCAGCTCGCTTTCTAGAGATCACAGATGCCAAGAGCAAGGATTAGCTCAGTATGGAGGACAGCACTGGCAAAGGCTGGCATGCAGGGGTACGATACCTAAGGTGGGTGCACTGGCACTTCGTTTACGATCTTCAGATATCCCAACAACGCACACAATCACACGCAGTCCAATGGAGAGAACACAGGAGAATGACAAAATGAAACACAGATCAAACTCTTACTCACAAAATACACACAGTGGGAAGACAGGGAAGCACTACGCTGTGCTTCCAACATTGCAGACTCCATTAGCATGGTCAATATGGGGTTAATTTATCCACTTTCAAAACAGAAGAGAAGTTGTTTACAGTGAAGTCTGAGAGTACTGAGCTTATTGGTCTTTCCTCTACATTGGCGCTCCAACACGGAGAGTAGGGTGAAGAGCCTACATGGAGCTACCTTTACACTGAATTAAACTCACAGGAGCATTTTCTTGCTAACTTGTCCCCCAACTCATTCACCTTCATTTCCAAGAAATAGACATGCACAAACGGATGAACAAGGGAAGGGAAGAGACTGACCTTGTCCTCATTCTGAGCGAACTGAGGCAAAGGCATTTTGGCCACACGTACCCAAGTTTGGTGCACTTGCTGTCCTCTTGTTATTTTTTATTTTAAAAAAGCCACGTCCAAAGGAAGATCTGGCTTTCCGAGTGCCAAAAGGGTTGTCATCCACCGAGGCATCGTGTCCTGGAGCTTTCGGAGGGAGGCTCCCAAATGGGCTGCTTTCTACTGGACCTTTATCCTGAGAAAGAAGTAATAATAAATGTAACACAGCACTGACTTGCATAATTATGAGTACATGCCAGGTGCAACACCTGCTATGTTACACATGTGATTTTATTTAAAAGAATCATGGACCTAACAAACTGATTTTAAGATTTTATTTATTTATTTATGAGAGACCTAGAGAGAATGGCAAAGACACAGGCAGAGGGAGAAGCAGGCTCCCTGGGGGAAGCCTGATGCAGGACTCGATTCCAGGACCCCAGGATCATAACGTGAGCCAAAGGCAGATGCTCAACTATTGAAGCACTCAGGCTGATTCTGAATGTGGGATGCCACATTAGAAGTTTAAAAAATCAATCCTGAAAGTTCCTTAAGGAGCAACAGCAGCAGCAACAAAAACATATTCATCACTGGTCTAACCAGTGCTGAATATGGTATAACCCATGTGCTTACTAGAACATGAAATATTTAGGATATAGAAATTCTCAAATTTTATTTTAATTTTATTTGCCTCATTCTCCCAAAGGCATGGAAATAAGAATTACATAACCAGAATACCAGCGGTCTTATTAATTTTTCTAACAATTCCTCTACATTGACGCTCCAACAAGGACCTGTGGACACAGATTGGGCTATAATACAGTTTGCAGTCTCTGTAATATAACTGCACCAGGAGAAGCCCAACATAATATATTACTCCACAAAGCAGGCATTAACCCTAAGTTTCTACAATAGTAGCATAGATTCTACTCCAGTTATTTTAAATATTCTTCCCAAGGAATTAATAATAAAATGAGGACACAACCAGTTTCTGTTAAACACTTTTTTTTTTGAAAGAGTGTTTTGTGATATATTCATTATCCTGCAAATTACCCAACATGGATCACTGATTTTCAAAGACTATGATACATTCAGATATACTTCAAATGGAAACTAAACTTGCTATAATTAAATTTTTCTTCCTTGACTCAGAAGGCATTTTAGCTGTCTGTGAGGTCGTTGTCAAGAACCTTAATTAAGTTATACTTTTAGGTACTGTTTTTTTTTTTTAAGCTTTCTTGTTATTTGAATTTGCAATTATAGTAACATGATTATTTTAATATGATCCATCGATGCCTTTGTTTGCATGCTCTAATTTCTCTAACATCTCTAGCCTGTTTCTTTTTTTTTTGCAGAGGTGGAGAAAAGGAGAGGGGGCACCGGCTTTTAAGGTGGTTATTTTATTCTACATATTCATTGCTCGTGGTAATTACAAGTTTATAGATGTCACAATTTAATGATACTATTACCTAAGTCTCAACACAGATGTCAAAATCATTTAATCATTTATTGAACTGGCAAGACAAAAAGGACAGAGGATGACTGTAATTACAGCTGTGTGCACTGTCTGTGCCTCATCAGCGATACCTACATTACGACTCAAGGCATTCAGAGCCAATGGTCAAGGGAATACATCTGGAAGTACCCTGCCTACCAGAATGGAGCCTTTACAAAGTTAATGGTTGAAAATTAGAGGAAAGAAGAACTAGAGCCCTTGTTGATGAGGTCTTAAAACAAAACAAAACAAAACAAAACAAAACAAAACACCAAAATGTTTGCTGTATACAGTTTTTATTAAATAGTTGTTCTAAGACTGGCAATCTAGAGATTTTTTTTTGTGAGGTCTTAGGAAGCCCAAATATGATCATTAAGAATATCAATAGCCTGATTTAGAATTTGAGGTTTTATTTTTTTTTCAATAGTTTGAGGTGAAACATAAAAAGTAACTATTTTAAATTGAACAACTCAGTGACATTTAGTACACTCAGAGTGTTGTGCAACTACCACCTCTACCTAGTTCCAAAACATTTCCATCATTCTAAATAAAACCCCTTACCCATTAAGCAGTTTCTCTCCATTCCTCTCCATCTCTGGCAACCACCAATCTGTGTTCTGTCTCTATGGACTTATCTATTCTGGATATTTCACATAAATAGAATCCTATCATATGTGATCTTTTGTGGCTGGCTTCCTTCACTTAACATGTTTTGGAGATTCTGAGTGTTTTTTTTTTTTTTTTGAGATATTTAAGCAATCACATGTATTAGAAGTCAAACATTTTTACATTGTAATCTGGATATAAAAATTACCTCTGAAGGCTTCTGAACAGACTCTTTTTCCTGTTCAAAACAACAATATTTCAGATTGTTAAAGGAATCCTTTATATATTCAGAATCTATCACATACAATTCCAGAAATTAAAATAAATTTACATCTTCTTCTAAGCTACACAATCTCAGTTTCATTTATTTCCAGTAATGGTTTATTAAAAGTCTTCACTTTTGATTTTATACACTACTTTTAACCCTTCATATTCATACTTAATATTTACCATTAACAGTGGTTTCTAATACATTTGCATTGGAGAAACCACAAAGCTCTTCTTGTTTTATTAGCAAAATGGGAAAATCCCTAAATGTGAAGATCCCTAAAATATTTTTGGCTCAGGGAAACAGACAAAAAAAATAAATAAATAAAACACAGAACCAACCCCATCTGATGACTTTTTCTTCAGATTACCCAGGCTGCTGGACTTTTGCAGACTTGAAGTTCTAAAAATAAGAATACTAGTAATTAGTATTAATAATAAGTGGCTCTGGTGCCACTGTTTCTAAATAGAATATCTTGGAAAGAAACTAAAATTGTGTGTGGGTTAAATCTGGGTAATAAAAGAAAATCTGGATTCAGGCAGTCACTTATGTGCTTAACTAAATTATAACATTTAGTTATTTTAAAAGCAGAGGTGGTTAACTGTCTTGCCAATAACTCTAAATGTCCTGCAAATGTTAGAATAGCTGGAAAAACACTTAGGACCATCCTTGTGATGTCAATAGTTGAAAATAAACCAGCTTTTTTCCATGGACTAGTGGTGCATCCTTTCATGCATACATTTAGATCAGGAACTTTTCAATTTTAATTTTTGTTTAAGTTTTAGTTAATATACCAGGAACTTCTAAAATACTCCCATACTATTTACATATAATCCTTGTAATTAAAATAAACAACAAAGGTGTTATTTTTAAATAATTAATGAATTCACAAAGGAATCCATTTTCTGAATCTGGCCAAGTACTTCATCTTATAGTTCTGATCAAGGCATAAAAGAAAAATCCCTATTGCTGCCCATAGTTATTCACTTGCTATTCTAGTAAAGGCAAAGTGACACTGTTGAAACATCCATAGATTTTCTCTTTCACATAACTATCCTTCAATTATATAGAACAGGTCTCAAAAACTGAAGGCAGGAATATGTGACCAGTTTAGAGAGAGAAAAAAGCAACATCTTTGCTCTAAGAAGTAGAATATAAATATACAAACTTTGAAAAGGCAACTCTCATGTTTTGTATACATAAGTTGCTAGACATTCTGACTACCAAATAAAGTAAAAGATAATGATGAGAAAAGATACGATTTCATCTTTGAGTACTGCTCTGAAAATGGATTTTCCTAATCTAATTCACACTTTAACTTGGATAAACATAGATATTGGGCCGTTTTACTACACAGAGTGCAAAAACAAAACAAAACAAAACAAACAAAACCAAACCACACTGCAGCCTTTTCAGCCATTCTATCATTCCCTCTGTTCTCTCCTAGAGTCAAAATGCAAGCCAGTGCAAACCTGAAATTCAAAGCATTGAACTTCACGTAAAAACTGATGAAGGAAGGTAAAGGTGTGGGAAAACTTGGCATGAGATAATAGATAACGGTTAGTGAGCAAGTATTTCTTTGTTAACTTACAACATCCCATCTCCCCCACATCCAACCATTACACCTGCATTAATGTGCTCTGGCCTCAGTCACCCACTTCTCATTGTGGTTATGATCAGTGTGACAGAAGCCTCCTCCCTTCCAGGCATCAAGGACATTTTTCATATCCAATAATATAACTTACGAAAGACTCTCACAAGGCTGGGTTTCAACAGCAGCACTAAGGATTATTTTTCCATCACTAAAATGGAAAATAAAAAGAAAAGGAATTTATGTGCTTCACAAGTAAAAGACCATATAAAAGACTATATAGATTCTAAATGAACAGGATTGTCAAAAAAAAAAAAATTTTTTTTTTTGCTAAGGAAGCAATTTCTCTCTCTTTTAAAACATTTTTTTTTTTTAAATGTAGGCTCCATGCCCTGTGTGGGGCTTGAACTCACTACCTGAATGTCAAGACCTGAGGTGAGATAAGAGTCAGCTGCTGAACCGAATGAGCCTCCTACGAGCTCCTCTCTTTTAAAATATTCTATTATATATTTTTTTATTTGGCTTGTTTATAAGTAATGAGAATATGATCCCTCAAAATTCTACTTGTCAACGGAGAAATTACTGTATCCCTTTTCTGAATCCTTCAGAGCCATCTTCCAAACAGCCTCAGGTACATGACTGTCACTATGGGGCTTGCAACCCACTGACAGTCCCCTATAATCTAGGACATACAACTCAAGTGCCCTAAAATCCTTCTCTAACCTGACTACCACACCTCCCCAGCTTCAGCTCCTATGACTTCTTGCTTTGCACCTTTTATTTCAATAATACAGAACTGAGTGCAGGTCCCTTGGCATATGCCTTACTGTTTCTTGCCTTTCTGAGTAAAATCTGTGTCTGTAAATACACACAATGGACCCTTGTGTTTCCTTGATCTACTTTGTGGAACATTTATATTGCAATGTTAGGTCATAAATGACATACTTTTCTTCAAAGGATGTCTCTGGTTGAGGAGGCAATTTTGCTTTTTCAGAAGTTTCCAAGCTCTTAGATGCTGGCAATAATGATGGGATCGAAACTTGCAAGATGCTGCTGTGGAACTGCAATGTTATTACAGAAAGTCAAAAATCCGTCATGCAAGGAATAAGTCATAAAGAAAAAAAAAAGATAATTAAATGGTCTATCAGTGAAATTTCATACACTCTGTTTAGAATACTTCTTATATTCATAAAATGGTCTCAGGATATAAACATCAACAAGTATTAATCAGTGAAAACATTCTGGAGGAAGGTCATTTTGGGACTTGGTTTTCAATAAACATAATACCAACAAGTAAGTCAACAGTTGATCCTACAACTTTAAGACCAAGTTAAAATCTTGGTTCTAACCTTAGGTAAGTCACTTAACTGGGCATCAGTTTTTATCCTCTATAAAATGAGAATGACAATGCCTACCTTTACAGGGTTGTCATGATTTAAGAGGAGATTTGGATAAAGTGCTTTGTAAATACACCTTTGTTTTCACTTTCTTTTTTTAAAAAAGATTTATTTATTTAATTAGTTATTTGAGAGAGAGAGAGAGAGCACACGCAGGGGAAGACACACACACAGAGAGAGAGAGAGAGACAGAGAAAGAGACAGAGAGAGAGAGAGAGAGAGAGGGAGAAGTAGACTCCCTGCTGAAGAGGGACCACTCTGGGCTCAATCCCAGGATCCTGGGATCATGACCTGAGCTGAAGGCAGACACTTAGCCGAATGAGCCACCCAGGCACCTCTTCACTTTATTTTCTACCACTAGTCTAACATAGAATGTGGTTCAAACCAGTTAATGTGTGGATACCACTAAACCACCTTGCTTAGCAACAATATTACAGCAGCAACAACAAAAATGTCTAATACATTTTCCCCAACAAATGTTTTGTGTATCCTAAGGATGGAATCTATGAAAGAAATCTTACACTCTAGTTTTAAATAATTTCTGACAACTATAGAACAGTACAGTACGAGCACATCATAAACTAATAAATGAAATATTGTGATAAAATAGTAAACAAAATTTACCTCAGTGAATTCACTTTGCCAGTCAACCAATTACTGACTGCTGTTCTTCCCTTCTGAAGTTAGCCAGGAAGGTAGGGACTCACACCACTGAACTCCCTTCTAGATACCAATCAACCAAAAACAGTCTCACCTTTGTAACCACACACCCACAGCTGATATTCAACTCACTCCAGTCTCTGAAAGTCCATCAATCCCTGAGCTCTAAGCATCCCCCCAAGCCCCATATATAATCAAAGAGACTGTCCTTGACCAATAAAGTTCACTTAGTCAATTAAACAAAAAATAAATTTAGCTTTGAGATTTTTTTTTGTTCCAGTTATTGAATGGTGGTCTCATCCCTTGAGACCATAAGAGGCTATAACATGTGAAGTCTGTTAAAATAATCTGATTGGGCCCAAGTTGGAGGGGCTCGTATTAAGCTCCATGTCAACGAATCGAAACTTAGTTACTAGGCATTGTGCTTCCAGAAAAGGCAGGACTACATCAACCCATCAGCACTTGCCTGCTCTATACAAGGTACCTGGCCCCACTCCAAGACTTCCCTTCACTGTACATAAGGAAAGTAATCCTACTTTAACCAGCCAGCAAATGCCTCACATGACTTCTTCCTGCTCCTGCTTCCTTCTGCCTAAAAAAACCTTTCATTTTGTACAGATCCTTAGAGTTCCTTTCCATCTGCTAAACTGGATGTTGTTTGATTCATAAAGCAAGGACATCATTGGCTGTCAAATGTTATTTTTCCCTTCAGGATAAATATATAGTCAGCAATTAGGGGATTTTCTTTCCCTCTAATATATTTCTTATTCCTTAACTAATTCCTTGCCTCTTTTCCAATTTTATTGATATATCACTGACATGTAGTATTGTATACATTTTTAAAAAAAGAAAAAGAGAAAACATTTTTTTCTTTGGGATGAGAACTTTTTGGATTTACTCTAAGCAACTTTTAAATATACCAGACAGCAGCGTTAACAATAGTCATCATGTTGTACGTTACACCCCCAGTATTCATTTCTCTTATAGCTGGAAGTCTGTACCCTTTTGACCATCTTCCTCCAGTTTCCCTACCATTACTTCCTTGTTAATGACACCTTTTAGCCCTCTCTCACTGAAGAGAGAAATGTTTCCTCCTTGAATTCATTTTCATTCAATTCAAACTGTTTTCTCATGATGTAATTAGCAAGAACAGATGTGAAAAGTAAAGATGCCATTTGGTTTCTTCTCACTATGTACAGTCAAATGTTAGAGGAAAGACCAAAGAAAGGAACTGTTAAACATAAGGGAGCCAAGATTGTTTAGAGAAAAGAAAGAAAAGAGAAAAAGAAAAGAAAAGAAAAGGAAAGAAAAGAAAGAAAAGAAAAGAAAAGAAAAGAAAAGAAAAGAAAAGAAAAGAAAAGAAAAGAAAAGAAAAGACCCAACCTTTCCTACTCCTAGTTTCTCTAGACAGCACAGTCCATTAAAATTGAGAAATAGTTTCAGGGCAAAGATGTAGGTTCTGTCAAGAAGCCCTAGGCGTGCCTCTGTTAAGACCTCAGGGAAAAAAAAAAAAAAAAGACCTCAGGAAGACTTGTGGTGGCTATCTCATTGAAACCTTCACAAAGATCAAAAACTCTAAAAGTAGAGGGATATTCCATAGCAGCCTTACAGAAAACTTAAAGGCTTACTGTGAAGATATTTGTGGTTATGCTTTACCTAATGGAGTGGATTATAAATTGATTCATAAGAAATTCCAAGTGAATAAATTATTACATCAAATTAGACCAAGAGGGACAGAGACAGAAGGTAGAAGGCCTTGGACCTGTACAGACACTTTTACAGAATGTAACTCATCTGCAATTTTAAGTTCCTTCTCATAGAAATGGAAAGATGACTCCAAAGGAATGACCAAAAGCCCAGAGGACTGGGCCCCTGTAAAGGAGCTCGCAACATGGGCCTGGCTGGATTTTGGAACTGCTATGGACTAATGACACCCGTGTGTCTTCCATTTTCCCCTTTGTTAATGAGACTGCCTAGCAGTTGTTACGCCTACTCCACCACCATATGTCAGGTGTATAAGAGACAGATAGCTTGACCTTTAATTTCCTGTTTTCTTTTGTTTTTTTTTAAAGATTTTATTTATTTACTTCAGAGAGACAGAGAGCACAAGCGGGGGTAGGGGGTAGCCGCAGAGGGAGAGGGGAAAGCAGACTCCCTGCTGAGCAGTGAGCCTGACACTGGGCTCTATCCCAAGACCCCAGGATCATGACCCAAGCCGAAGACAGATGCTTAACTGACTATGCCTCAATCCTGGTTCTTTAAATGGAATGGAGTGTTACTCAAGAAGCCATGCCCAAGAAGTTGTACCTGAGGAGTTTCGTAACATGTGGACCTGGTCTGAATGACAAGATCCTGGGATGCTGATGCCTAACTAGAATGAGACCAAGAGGTCTTTGAAGACGGAATGAATATATTTGCATGAGAGAAGGGTGTAAACTATGTAGCCAGAGAGTAGAGGGACATATTGTACTATTCAAATATGGTAGCACCAGTATATATGCTATCCCATATGTTCTTCTTCTAATGCAATATTTTTACTTGTCCATCAAAAGGTAGGGTTCGAGCACCTGGGTGGGTCGGTTGCTTAAGTGTCTGCCTGTGGCTCAGGTCATGATCCCAGGGTCCTGGGATACAGCCCCTGCTGAGCAGGGAGCCTGCTTCTCCCTTTTCTCCTTAATTATGCTCTTTGTCTCTCTCTCTCTCTCTCAAATAAATAAAAATCTTAAAGAGAGAGAGAGAGAGAGAGAGAGAGATAGGGTCTATGTTTTCTCTCTGTGAATGTGTGTGGACCTATGACCATGCCACATGACTTCTGAGTCATATCATAAAAGGTGATGGAAATTTGCCTAGACCTTTTCTTGGGATGCCCATCCGTAGGACCTAAACACTATGCTACAAGAAAGTCAAGCAGTCATGTGTATTTCCAGCTAGGGCTTCAGTTGAGGTTCTGGCCAACAGTAGACCCAATCATGCAACATACAAAAGGGGTAGCCTCCAGATGACTCAAGCCCCTAGCCTTCATGCCATTCCAACTGATGCCCACTGGAGTGAAGAAGAAATGTTCCCACTGAGCCTTGCCCAAATATACAAATTTGTTAGCAAAATAAATGTCATTCAACCCACCAATTTTGGAGTGGTTTGCAATAGATAATGGAAACAGATTTTGGCACCGGTTTGATATAAAAGAGAAGTAATGAGTTCAAGATTGAGTATTCCTGTCCAGTTGCTTTTTCCAAGTCTAAAGAAGTAAGGGAAATTTTAGTATAGCATTTTTCAGAGGCACCATCAGAAGTGACTAAAATCAACTTCTTTATATAATCTCACTTTATCCGCCTTCATTTATTCCCTATTTATTCTCTAATAAGTAGATTGTAATCTATATAGGATGACACTCTCTCCCATGCTTTTCCTGAATTATTTAAGCAATTCTGACATTGTCCAAGGCATTTACTTATTAAAGGGACAGAGAAAAACACACCTTTCAAATTAAGTCCTGCGAGACTGAGTCTTGACACAAAAATTGCCAAGACTCCATCAGTAGTTGAACTGAGAAAAGATCTTGTGTCTTTCATGCTGTCAACAGCATTTTAACCTTCAGTGACACAGTCTGTTCAATGTGAAGAAAATAAAATATTCAGTCTATAAATACCTCTTCTGGAACACTTGTGTTAAATGGGTCACGACTGGGAGATCCCATTACTGGTGTAGGTGATAGACTCTTCTCCAAGTCACTAAAACCCTGCACATCCAGCAAAGTGGAGATGGAATTGGAAGTGAGCAGATCTTCAAAGTCGCCATCTTGGCCTAGGAAAACACAAAGCAAAAGGAGGACAACAGCAGCTTTTCATTTATATTTCACTTTTGGAGGAAGGATACCAACTGAATAGAAATATTTTTCTCATCCAGGGCATCTGGTAGCTCAGTGGTTGAGCATCTACCTTTGGCTCAGGTCATGATCCCAGAGTCCTGGGTTCGAGTCCCACATCAGGCTCCCTGCAAGTAGCCTGCTTCTCCTTCTGCCTAGGTCTCTTCCTCTCTGTCTCTCATGAATAAACAAAATCTTTAAAATAATTTTTTCCCTCATCTTCAAAAATCAAAGAGTCAGCTTCTCCTGAAATCCTTAGAAAAATAACAACATAGCATGTAGGAAACATATTAAACTATGAGCACCTAAGGCCCAGGAATAGTATTAATACAATCATGGACTCACAGCATGGCAATCAGAAGCTAATTTAGTCCATGAGTCCTCCCATAATTTTGTTTCAGAAATGGGGGTTTTACAAATTTCAGTTCAGAAATAACCAAGCTGGAGAATTATCAGTGGTACAACAAACTAATTCTGAACAGCAAAAGAGTTATCAGGAAACAATTCAATATTCATCATTACTGTATTCTTGGGGGAAAAAAAAGCAGAAAAAAGGCAATCTTTTGATTCCTTAAGAGAATCCTTCTGTGCCATTTATTTTAATGCAGAAAGAATAGACTTATGGATAAATGTAACCACATATCCAGCCAAGCAGCCAACTTTGAGAATTTCATCTCTAGTGATGAAAAGGATTAGGTGAACAACTGTGCCAAATATTCTTTTTTAAAACCAAAGAATGATGCTTAAAACACTATTCTGTGAATACAAAATGACAAATCATATACTCATTTAAAGCTATTAACTAGACTTAGCTTTTTAATTGTTTTATTATTTATTCTAATTTCATTAATGTAGGTATTATTAGCATTCTCTACAGATTAACTAAGTAAATATAAGTCCTAGTGAAAAATCACTGTTTATAAACTCTTCATCAGAATAGGATATAATTTTCAATGGTGGTTAAAACTACCTCTTTTCACATTTTATATGCATTTTTTTAAATATGAAAAAAAACCACATGAAATTTTTTTTAAGATTTATTTGAGAGAGAGAGAGAATACACAGAAAAGGGACAGAGAGAGAGCATCTTCAAGTAGACTTCTCACTGAGTGAGGAGCTGAGGCAGGGCTCCATCTCGAGACCCATGAAATCAGGACCTGAGCCAAACCAAGAGCCGAACACTTAACCAACTGAATCACCCAGGTGCCTCAAATATCTGACTTGATCTCAGCTCACATCTTGATGTCAGGGTCTTGAGTTCAAGCCCTATGTTGAGTTCCACACTGGGCATGGAGTCTACTTTAAAATAAAATAAAATAAAAACAAAACAAAACCCCGTGAAATTTACATGCTAGCGTGATTAGGAATAATATTTACCCCTTTTCTCACAGAGAGAGAGAGAGGCAGAGACACAGGCAGAGGTAGAAGATGGCTCCCATTAGGGAGCCGATGCAGGACTTGATCCCAGGACCCCGGGATCATGTTCTGAGCTGAAGGCAGACCCTCAACCACTGAGCCACTGAACCACACAGGCGTCCCTCAAACACTGTTTTAAATGCTATGACTATGTAAAAATATATGCTAAGTCATGTGGTGACTTAATAATAAGTTCCTTTTAGATTAATAAGATCCTTTTTTTTTTCCAGAAATCCTGTTCTGAAGTAGGATTTTCTTTTTGAACTCATCAAAATTGAAACTCCAAAATCTCAGTATTTCCCAAGTACTTTCAAAAAGATTTACTACCAGTGCTTACTTTTAGAGCAAATAATCCCACCTATGCATTGTTAATGAACAAGAAAACTTTTAAAGTTCTTAACACACTTTTGTTCTAAATGACCCCCCCGCCCTCAGAGATTTTCCACACTTGAGAACGGCCAACTGAACCATGCACAAGTAAAAGAATAATACATCAAAAGGCATGACTAGGGGCGCCTGGGTGGCTCAGTGGTTCAGCAATCTGCCTTTGGCTCAGGTTGTAGTCCTGGGATCAAGTCCTGCATAAGGTTCCCCACAGGGATCCTGCTTTTCCCTCTGCCAATGTCCCTGCCTCTCTCTGTGTGTCTCTCAAGAATAAATCAATAAAACCTTTAAAAAAAAAAAGGGGGGGGCATGAGTATTTAAGTTTTTAATTCTCGTTAACATACGGTGTAATATTAGTTTCAAGTGTACAATAGAGTTAACACTTCCAAACATCACCTTGTGTTCATCCTGACAAGTATACTCCTTAATCCCCATCAAAGCACGACTATTTTTACCTAGATGTTTTATGGTTTTGTTTTGTTTTTTAACACATTCAAAGCTGAACACAATCCCCTTTAACCATTCCAATGTTCCCTCACTAGGCTAATCTATCTTGGTAAATGGAATCATCCATGTAGTTGCTTTAGTCAGAAACATCAATCTTTCTTGATTCTTTCCTCTTCTTCATTCTCATCTAATTTATCACACCACTGTGTTGATTTTAACAGCAAAATATACTTCCAATCAGTACCATCATATCTTTCCATTTGGAATCCTATGAGGGTCTCTTGACAGGCTTCTCTTCCTTCCAATACTGCTCCCTCCTCTCAGTATTTGTTACAAAAATGCTGCAGATTTGTGAAAACCCTTCGGTGGATCCCTCTGGGCTCAAAGAGCTGAATGTCTTGTGTTGCCTGACCTGACCAGCACTCACTTCTATCAGCTCAGCTCATCTCATTCTCTCTCTGCTCACTTCCTTCAAGTCATGATGGTCTTCTTTTTTTTTTTTTTTTTTTTCTTAAATACACCAAGCCCTTTTTCCAGCATAGGCTCTTGAGCATGCTGTTGTTTTCTTTGCTCTCTTTGGAATTCTGATGAACTCCACATAGAAGCTCTCCATGACTGAACAATCTACAGTATTCTCATTGGCCTACATACCAAGAAAGCGTAGAGAACAGATCCCTAATGATACTGTTGAAATGAATGAATGAATGAATGAACGAACAATTTGGAATAATTGATATTCCAGGAAAATGAGGCCAAATGTAAAAATCTGTAGCCACTTAAAATCAAGTAAAGTAGAAAAACCTATAGAGCTACACTACCTTTTTTACCTTGGGCCAACACCACTGTATCTTGCATTTTCTTGTACCTGTTCAGGCACTGTCGAAGATCTTCTATTTTCCGATCCTATTAATAAAATAAATTGTCATCTTTAATGCCATGACCTTAAATAGTAAAAGTATTTGTGACACAAAGAATACGTAGACATGAATTATTTACACTATTCAAAGAATACTTCTAAACTTTAGTAAAACTGGTAATATCTAGAATGGTTTTCCTACATACATCAGAGATAGAGAAAAAGTACCTCTAAATTTAGAGATCCTATCCTTCAGCTGCCATCTTTAAAAAACAAAAACAAAACAAGGTAATAAGATACAAAAAAAAAAAAAAAGAAAAAGAAAAAAATCAACTTTAATTATTCTCTCCAACCTATAGGTCAGGAATTGAAAGAAAGATCTACACCTGCTATTTTTATCAGCCGTCATCATTCACCATTTGGCTTTTCTCTTCTCAAAACACTCAGCCAAAGTTGCATCAACTGGTCAGCAGAGAATTTCTGTTTACTAAAAATAATGAGTACGTTTCATCCTTTTTCTAATTTGACCTCTGGTACTTGACCCCACTCTCTCCAGTTCTTTCACATTTCCCTCCACTTTTTCTTTTCTTCTATTTTGATTTCTTAATTCCTTGACCAGATGGATATTCTATTTTTACTATCCCCACTACCTACCCAGCCCCAACTATAAACTGTTAGTGCTTTAAAGGTTTTGTCCTTTCCTCTGCCTTTAGTAAATTGTAAAAATGAGTTCCCTAGCTCCTCCCTCACTGATTTTGGGCCTGGCCATGTGACCTGCTTTGGCCAAAGAGATATCAACAAATGTGGTGCAAGAAAAGTCTTGAAAGGTATTTGCACATTAGGACTTGCCCTCTCTCTCTACTCTAGCGAACCTTGTGAGCACTATGTGAAGAAGCACAGGCTAGTCTACTGGAGGATGACAGACAATTTGGAGAAGAGAGATCCCAGATGGAACCTACCTACAAAAGTCTGTTAATCATCCAGCCTCATCCCACCCAGCAGCTAACTGTAGACATCAGCAGAGCCAGCCCAGACCAGAAGAACCACCTAGCCAACCATCAGAAGTATGAGAAACAATAAATGTGATTTGTCATGGAGCAAAACCTAACTGATACATCAACTATAGTTTAGTCTCCGACAATCTACAATTCTGTATGTCTCCTAAAATTGATGGGGTTCATTCCCTACCCAATGTATAATTATACATTAATCCCAAAATTTAGATTCACTTTCCAATTTCCTATGGGAAATCTCCTTTTAAATGTCCCATGAGCACATCAAATTGAAGGTCTCCAAAATTAAGCTCATTGTTTGCCCCTAGTACTTGAGCTTAAATTTCCTTAACTCTTTGAGGGCCCTATCATTTACCTCATTACTCAAACTAGAAACTTATTCTCAAATCCAAAATTAAAAAAAAAAAATCTTGTCAACTTGTGTAAATGACAGCCTGAAATAACCCTTCTCACCTTATCTCATTCTGAACTTTCTCAACATGCACTGAGCTGTTCCAGCCTTACTTTTGAGACATGTTTTGGCTCATAGACACTTTCCCTAGAAGCGTTCAAGTTCCTGATGAACAACTCTTGCTTTTCCTCAGATTTTGCTCAAACATGGCCTCTTTGAAGCCTTCTGGAACTTCTAAAACTTACTTCACCCTTGATGCTCCTAATGCAGTTTGAGTGTCTAGTAACCCCTTAGTCAACATTGGGAGTTTTGTTTATTATTGATGCTTTTTGAGAGCTAGAAATTAAAACTAAATGAATTTCAGTGATTATTTTTAAAAAGTAAAGGCTACGTGGGCACCTTGCTAATGACTTTCCTTTTTATTCAATAGTGGAAAAGACTAACAAAAAGAAACCTATATATGGGTGGGTGGATAGGACAATGAATTTATTTCCACATAATAAATTACTCTGTTCTTGGTTCTATTCATTCAGGAAGATGAGGTAAGAGTAGTTCCGATGAAAGGAGCTGAAACCAACCATTGCTGCCAGCTGGATATATGGCTGTTGAGGTAGGCCTTGAAGAAACATCTTGCTTTAGAGGTCACTGTTTCTCTGCTTTCAGCAAGATGAAGTGAGAGAAGCAACTGGGAGAAAAGAACCCCTGGAGATCTGGATATTTGGCCAATGGAACTACTAAAACAGCGCCTGGGGCCATGCTTGATTTCACAGTGCCCTTGCCTCTGTTTTTTCCTATTTCAACTCTCAGAAGAATAGAGACAATTCCTGATGTGAAAGAATCCAGGAGTGTGAAGGAAATAATATGAATAAAATCAACTTCATCATGAAGCTCAAGTTGTCCTAGGCCACCTCCTTCCAGAGTTCATGTTGGCTCAGAATTTCCAGTGACCACAGAAAGGATGCATTATGAGCTTTACCCTTTCTCTCATTTCCCACCTGAATATAAAGAAATGATCTGAAAGCTTGAACATTTTTCCAGATTCATGGGGAGGTGGGGGAAGGAATTCTCAGGGAAGCCACTGTTGGCTGGCCACTACTCCACGCACTCAGCCACAATTATAACTGCCAGCACCGAGAGCACGCATGCGGGGGCAGAGAGAACAATCGTCCCTCGACATAGTAGCATGTAGGGTATATTTTTTCAAATGGAAATATCTTAAGAAAATGCATGGAATGATCAAAATGATGGTACACACCCACATAAATACTTTAATTTCATCTAGATACCTTTTCTTCATTTGCTGCCATCAAGGACTCCACAGCCTTTTTCATTTTTTGCACTTCAATATCTGAAAACATCACAACATCACATCAGAAGTCAGTTTCGTTAATGTGTATGACAATAACAAGAGGCTGACTCTTCAGACTGAAATGTTTTAATGAAATGTTACCATCCAAAACCTCTTTTTGGGGAAAATCTGAAAAACAAACACTTTCTATGTCACCTGAATAGTCATCACTCCAGAAAGCAAACAATAAAGGTGAGAGCTAACTGCCCTCTCTCAGACCAACAACAGTCTTCATGATAACACTGACGGTGGAATGTCAGTGCTGTAACTATGAAAACACAGAATTTTCAAAAAAAGGAAACCTAGACAGCAGTGAGTGAAAGCAATGAACAGTGTACATGATGACAAAAGCAGAGAAAATGATACTCAGTTTTAACCAAGATGGAGACATGAATGGTAAGAGCCTGATGGAATGTGGCTTTTATATGAATAGTCATGCTAAGAAGCTGCTTGTAGGTTCCATATGGAAGGATAATAAGTACTTTGCTTCATCTATAAACATCATTTCCAGCACTATTTTAAAATGTAAAAGCCAAAGTAAGGTAAATGCAATTTTCCTTAAAATTTGATAGTTAAATACAAAAGCATGTTACTTTAATAATAAAATAAACAATATTTTAAAATGAAAAGTTAACCTAAAATGAAATCATAAATTTAAAAAATTCAAACAGAAGAAAAATTGAGCCAAGATTACCTGCTTCTGAGGGAAAAAAAAAACAAAAAACAAAACAAAAAAAAAAACTTTAAATAGTGGTGCATCATTCACCGCTGATATAACATTTTCAATTAAGGTATATCCTGTAGAAATTGTTTTTGTTTTGTTTTTTTGATGCCAAATCCTCTTAAGAATTCAGTAGCTGGAGGAAAAAGTCTTTTAATTAAGGATTTATCTTTACGCTGCATTATATAATCTGGGTTCTGTTACTCAGTCTGGGTTCAATTTCTTTTCTAGCACCAAAAGGGTATGTTTAACTCCCAATGTAGATCTCAGTGAAAAAAAAACAGGCTACAAACCTACTAACCCAGTATCTCCTGAACTACAAAGAAAATACTTTCTCACCTTCACTACTCTGGGTGCTCTGCTGTATCCTGTGGAGCAAAGGAGCTGAATCAGAAAAAAAAAAAAAAAATCAGCAAAATGACCTTTTACTCCTTGTTTTTATTGCGTTTTTATTTACCCTCTACTTTGTGCACTCTGAAGAAATGGAGAGTTTATCGATGAAGCAATTTTACATCTTTGGTGAGAGAAATGTTTTAAAAACATGCAAAGAACAGTCCAAGTAGTACTTTTGGTGAATGTAAAGGCTGATGGAAATACACCAAAAACCTTACTTTTGTCTTTGAGCTTCTTTTTAAAATTTTCATCTGTGCAGGAAAACCCATCGAATTGGAAGTTAGTATACGTTATAACAATATTTTAAAAGCACTATTATTTAGTCTCCTATTACCTAAAACAAAGCGACTCTAACCCTATAAAAGCCGAATATTAAACATTTTGTGACTTTAGTAATAGTACTACAATACATAATGCTCTGCGTAAGGTTAGAAAGAGAACATAATTAATCAAAAGACCTAAATTTGAGTTCCTCTGTCACGTCATCTTTGTGAACCTTGATTTTCTTGTATTAAAATTAGGCCTATGGAATATAAGCACTCCTTACACTCTATGTGGTGAAAAAACCATTAGTGATGCTTTGATATTTTTACATTTCCATTACAATTCAATGCATGGCCCTCCTGAATGTGCCCAGTACATTGCTTGTGACACAGTAAACCCTCCTCCACTTGAATTCTACAACACTGAAATGGTCTATCTCCTGTGCAATGAAATGAGTCCACTGATCATGCAGTTAGATGTTATGCCAACATGTGGATTGCCATGAAGTTTATTTATTTATTTATTACTTACTTATTTTTATTTATTTATTTATTTATTTATTTACTTACTTACTTACTTACTTACTTACTTACCATAAAGTTTCTAAACATTGTTCTCAACCCTTGAATTTACCTGGCTGTGCACTGGTAACAAGCAGTTAGCAAACCAGTATCAGTCTTTGGGTACCACTACTCTAACACATCCTCTAGTCCACAAGTCCTATGATTCCATTTTATTTTTAAAACCCTAAAAGCATGACCTATCTGTGAGTGTCCTTTAAAAACACCAAATTTGGGCGGCCCCAGTGGCTCTTTAGCGCCGCCTTCAGCCCAGGGCAGGATCCTAGAGACCTGGGATCGAGTCCCACGTCGAGCTCCCTGCATGGGGCCTGCTCCTTCCTCTGCCTGTGTCTCTGCCTCTCTCTATGTCTCTCATGAATAAATAAATAAAATCTTTTTAAAAAGTTAAAAAATAAATAAATAAAATAAAAACACCAAATTCTAGGGATGCGTGACTAGCTCAGTCGGCACAGTATTTGATTTTTTATCTCAGGGGTGGTGAGTTCAAGCTCTACGTTGAGTGTAGAGCTTACTTAAAAACAAAACAAAAGGTGGGCAGCCCTGGTGGCTCAGCGGTTTAGCGCCACCATCAGCCCAGGGTGTGATCCTGGAGATCCGAGATCAAGTCCCACATCAGACTCGCTGCATGGAGCCTGCTTCTCCCTATGCCTGTATCTCTGCCTCTCTGTCTCTCACGAATAAAAACATAAAATCCTTAAAAAATAAAAAACCCAACCCAAACAACTACAATTCTATATATGCCCAAAATATATAAGGGGAAAAATATCCATTTCCCCCAATGTTTGATGAATTGAGTTTTCTGATCCATAGGGAGTTGCAACTATAGGTATATAAAGCCAGGGTATTCTAGAGCCAAGAAAGATATGACATGTAACCTAATTCAAGACCTTCATTGTATAGACAATGATGTTACCAATACATAATACATAAAATGTATTCATATGTTCACATAATACATAAAAATGTAAAGCTACACTAAATGTAATTTTTTGTTTCAAAAGAGTCCAAAGTTGCTTTGGTACCTTGCAGTGCCACAAGCATTTATAATAGCAAAGAAAGATTAAATTAAACCTAGTGTCGACAGGTATGGCATGCATTTATATTTCAAACATGACATAAAAAACACCTTTCATCCAAGTTTTTTCTATCAAGTATAATGTACATTGAAAATTACAGTCCATACAATATTTGAGAAAAACCTCAATTACGATAAAAGTTTTTGATAAATTCACATTTTTCAAAAACAGAATTAGCCTATTTTTGCTCTCTAGCAGGTTGAGGGTCCAATCCATGATCAGAAATTTTCATTGATTTTCCAAAGACACGCAGTCTTTTCCTCTCTTCTCTCAAAAGGGCAGGAAAGGTTTCTAAATTTCTTTCTGTTTCACGGTTGGTTCAGAGGGAAATAATCTTGGAACATAATAATGATTCCTTCAAATGCTTTCTATCACTACCTTGAACCACGATTTGAGCAAGAACTCTCTCATGAGAATTTACAACTTAGTAATATAAAATAAACACCCAATAACATAAAGAGCTGCCCTTCTCCAACTGCTCTGGAGAGGAAGCTCACAGATCTGCAGGTACAAGAAGGAGTCTCAGAGGATTCCTTGCTGTCCTGGAACTGGGCTTCCATGGTTTCTGCTACCCTTGCCTTTCCTGTAATGACACATCACTAACATTGGCTCCTTTTACAAACGTAGTGAGGGAGGGAGGGTTGCACGGGGAGGATAGTAACGAAGTAAGAAAACAAATGTCAAGTGTATATATCTACCTCGATCAAGGATTTCCATCCCTTCTCCTTTCATCTTGCACACCAATTTTTCTTGTAGCCTCTTTACTTCAGATTCTTTCTCTTCCAGTTGTTCTTTTAAAGATGCCAGTTCATCCTACAAATGATTAAGTTCATTTTAAATCAGTAGATTACGACCAACAGAGAATATCAGGGAGTATGGCAACTCTCAAATCAATAATTAGTTTTTTGTGAATGATACAAAAAACGATAGAAATCTAGATGTAGACTTCAGAAACCAGACAGTGGCAATGGGAAGCAGGAAGCAAGACAATCAATGGAGGTCAATGTATAATAATTCTGGTATAAGTATTTCAAGCTTCTGTGTGACCAAATTAAAACAAAATATTTTAAAGTATAATTAGGACAAGGGTAGCCCTAAGGTTAAATCTTGCGTTAAAGAAAGAAATCTCCCCAAGTTAATTGAGGATATTAGATATTTAGTGTCATAGTAGTGTCAAATTAGATATTTAGTGTCATAAAAGCAAAATAAAATGCAAACTGGAAAATATAAATTAAGACTCAACTAAGATTTATTTAGTATTTCAAAATGGCACTCACGTTCCCTGGACAAGGTAAAGCTTAATTTAATGGGTAAGGTAGCAGGTGATGAACAATGTTAGCCAAATCATGGGACTAAATAATTCATCCTCATCACCAAAATTAAAGAACAGAATTATCCTATGACAATGGAAAAAAGATTTAAACAGATTTTTAAATCCTTCCCTTTTCACTACACAGCTACTAAATATTCCAAGTCCAAACAAAAGTCTATTTACTGAGGTTTTAATTTTCAGTTTAATTTTGGTGAAGAATTAGCTTTAGCAAACTGAAATTTTGCTGGTTGTATTTAGCACAGAAAATAAAGCTGGGCAGTGCTAACAAATGTACTTTTAAATTTGATAGACATTTTACTTTCAATCTCTAGGTGTATTTATTATGTTTAAGTACTATGAGAGGATCTCCAGTGAAGTGAGGAAGTTGACCCTATACTTTTTACTTATGGTAGGCGTGGACACACCAAATACAAGTTCTCAATAGCACTGGCAAGAAACTTCTTTCAAGCAGTAATTTCAAGTCACTGCCATGATATAGTTAACCTTCAAGAAAGTTCCAAGGAAGAAGCAGTCTCTGCTATTGATATATTGATAAAATATGGATTTTTCCCCCCACAGGTGCATTTTTGCAACTATTCTTCCAAGCTTGGGTCTCAGACACCCTAAGACAGTGATATTTAATTTGTAAGTGAATACTTTTATTACTCCTATTTATTGTTTTTCATTAACTATTTCATACGTTTCTGAAAACAAGATTAGGGATCGCATCGTTTCTTTCATCGACTTTAAATATATTTTTTAAAAATAGATGACACACACACGATGAATGCACATGCTGCTAAAAACACTATCACAGCAAAACAGCACAAGCCAGAACGCAACAGGCCCAAGACCCCGTTACCCAAAGTCTACTACACCTTCAGTGACTCCCATTTTTGCTCCATCCGCTGCTTTTCATACTGCATCTGACCCACCTTGATTTTCATGCTAGAAAGTTTGGCCATTAAAGACTGGTAGAGAGACAGAGGTGTGAAAGAAACCACAGGTAGAAAAAGATAAGCCTAAGTATCCAAGAAGACAGTATCGGTTTATAAAAGAAGGTTAGGTAACTACAAGAAGTAACAGGTTATGTTTTACTAGATTAGTTAAGCTCCGATTTTATTCAGAATAGTGGTGTTCAAATTCAAGAAGGGCTCCAGCTTGGGGGGGGGGGGATTTCATTCACTGGTTAAATGCCTTCTTTCTCATATACTGAATTGAACACTCACTGAACACTCATTTATATTATTGATCATAGATAGTGAGTCATGTGTTGACAGACTTGCCCTTGGGAAAACTTACTTTGGTTGATTTCAGCTTTTTTTCATACTGAAGTCTTTCATTGTCCATTTCACTGACTCTTAACCTCAGATCATTGATCTCTTGCATTAACCCCTGTCAAAAAAGGCACAGTGAAATACATTAGGAAAGCAGCAACACACTTACCTATACCAGAATAGCACCTTAGAAATCTTAACTCAATAGCCTCTGGGTTCAAATTGTATGAACTGAATCAGACAAATGGAAATAAATGTATCTCCCTGAGAAGCAAAGCATCTTTCTAGCTCAAACACGACTTTAAATTCTCAATGTCTCTGGCCTACAATGATGGGATTATGGAAATAAAACGTGACTTTTAGTTTTGATTAAGAAAGGTAGCCAATCACGTACTATCCATCATCAGCTATTTCTGGATGGAAAACCACCATATAGATTTCATCTTTAAAAATTAACTAGAAAAATTCTCTTTAGTCAAACCATCTACTTTTAGTGCCTTTTCAGTGATATGTGGATTACTTATAAAAAACATTTTAATAATTTCTTCCTTTGTCTACCAAAATGCAGACTGTTCATCAACCGAGCATAGAAGAATGGAATGAAATTTAAATCCTTTTTTTCATCTTTTTGAAATGTAAATCTTTTAAAACCAAGGATTCTCAACTTGAGGGTGGATGAGGGCTCTCCCATTTACAAACATACTGTCATAATACAATGTTATATTTGGAATAGGAAAAAGAAAATAATCCTAAAGTTTTCATAATACAAATACAGTCAGATGTTTTTTCTACTTCTGCTTAAAAACGAAACAAAAAAATTTACTTGTAAACCTCAGAAGTGTTCTGAGAAATAGTGACATATTTTTGTTCAGAGCCCAGACTGTAGGAAAAGGGAATTAGAATGCCACACAATACCAACTTAATTTACTGCGGAGAGGATTTATTTTTTACTACAAGCCATGAAGACCCCACCAATGGTTAACAGGTTTTTATTTCTCATTTTACATGTCCTTTATTCGTGAGCCATAAAGTAACAGATGACAGAATTATACAAAAATGAACTAAGAAATAAATGCTTACAAGAAATTTAACTTTCTTACTAAACTTCTATGCATAATGCACATATAGGGAAAGAGAAGCCTTTCCCAATTACATAATTACTCAGAATTATACAATAATTACTCTAGTTATAATTATTTTTTTTCTAAAGAGAAAGAGCTGGTACCCGTGTGTGTGAGCATGTGCTGAACTTATAATATAAGTTATAAGATTATAACTTATAATCTGAACTTTTAAGACAAAGAATTGTGGATTCATGAAACAGCTAGGGAAACTTTTTTTTTTTTTTTTAAGAAGGCTCCAGATCCACCACAGAGTTTGAACTCAGGACCCTGAGATCAAGAGTCACATGCTCTACCAACTGAGCAAGCCAGGTGCCCCAGAACATTTTATTTCTGTTAAGGGAACAATAATAGAAAAATGAGCATATTCAATTCAGTTTTAATTTTGTGGACTATTTTATTTATTGTCATATGTAACAAAATTGACTGGATTATAGCATGGGGAGGGGCAGAGGAGAGAATTTTCAAGCCTGACTCCCCACTCAGCAGGGAGCCCCGAGGGGAGGCTGGATGAGGAGAGGAGGCTAGATGAGATCCTGACCTGAGCTGAAATCGAGAGTCATAGGCTTAACGAACTAGGCTACCCAGGCAGCCTCTATTATAATTATTATTACCCTTGATCTTAGCCAAAAGGCTAAGAAGTGATTATTTTAATTATTATTAACACAATGTTTCAGTAAGAGGACATCTATTTTCTCCTTTCATGAATGAGGTCAGGAACTGTCTGACATCATTTAATAACATTTTAGTTGTGATTCCTTAACAACATGTTCAGAATTTAAGTCTAAAGGAAAAGTCAGTTTCTCTCTTTTATTTATCTCCCATTTATTAATCATCTTTGCATACTATAAATTCTTAGTGATCTTCCTTCATCTGTCTGGTCTTTTTTATATAGCTCTTTCTACTTTCTTATGCTTAATAGCTTTAATGCCTATTTGGTATTGTTTTATTTTACCACTTCATTTAGAAATAGTGACAATTAGCAAAGAAAAAGTATTGAAGAAACTAGAATTATAAATTGAGATAATTTTTCTATTTTTTTTAAACTCTACCCAAATATCCTTTCTGGCAACACTGTAAGTATGAATGTGAATCTCCAACCTGAAAGAAGTCCTCTTTCCCCATAACTCAAGCTAAAAAAATCTGGAAATAGCTCCTTAACATAAAACCTTAAAAATGGAATTAAAATTATTTCCAACTAATTTCTCATCAGAATTTCAGTTCTTTTTATTTTTTATTTTTTTATTTTTTATTTATTTATTTATTTTTTAGAATTTCAGTTCTTTTTAAAAAGAAAATCCCTGTTACTATTCCTTTTTCCCTCTCAGAGAAACTCTTCAGGCTCCACAGAAATTCAATTTCTGACATCTGGACTCTTACCAGAAGGGGGCATTGTTGAATAATGCTAAGCATCTTCTATCAGCCCTTTCTGGAAACAGGTCCTCAATATTCCAAGGTTCAAGACTTTAACCCCTTGTCTTTGGAATTGCCTGTATTTCTTCTTCCCCACTCCAATATTTTCTTAGAAATTAATCTCCAAATAATCTGAACTTTTAAGACAAAGAATTGTGGATTCATGAAACAGCTAGGGAAACTTTTTTTTTTTTTTTTAAGAAGGCTCCAGATCCACCACAGAGTTTGAACTCAGGACCCTGAGATCAAGAGTCACATGCTCTACCAACTGAGCAAGCCAGGTGCCCCAGAACATTTTATTTCTGTTAAGGGAACAATAATAGAAAAATGAGCATATTCAATTCAGTTTTAATTTTGTGGACTATTTTATTTATTGTCATATGTAACAAAATTGACTGGATTATAGTTTATAATCTCTGGGTATGCACACAATAGTTTACCAAGAGTGTAGAACATTTATTAGAAAATTATTAAGGACTGATTTACTGCAAGTTTGATGACAAGGTCACTTTGCTTATGATCAAAAATGCATGAGTGAAGCAAGGAAGCACCGGAAAAACAAAGTTTTATAAAAAAATGCAGACAACAGCACCTGGTTGGCTCAGACAGATAAGCATCGGATTTGATTTTGGCTCAGGTCATGATCTCAGGGTTGTAAGATCCAGCCTCAGGTTGGGCTCTGCACTCAGTGTGAAGTCGGCTGGAGATTCTCTCTCCCTCTCTCTCTGTCCCTCCCCCAACTCACCCCCACACACGTGTGCTCTTTCTCAAATAAATAAATAAAATATTTTTAAAAAAGGAGATAAACTCAAGAGATATAAATAGTTCTGGAGTCTTAAAACAAAATCGTAACACATCATCCACTTCAATTTAGTCCCAATGTTTGGTTAACATCTCAGATCCATATTAACCAGTCATGCAGGTTAAGACTCCCCCTAAACTTAATGTACACAATGGAAAAGGTCAACTCTAGATCCCCAAATACTCTAACTTCTTTCCCCACACCAGAGTTAGCTCCACTGCATGATGTCCATCTGCTGACTGAATTCTATGTTTTATGCAGCAGGCCATGGGGTCAGGGAGCGACAGAAAGGAAAAAGAGGAAAATATCCAAACAGATTTTTTTTTTAAGATTTATTTATTCATGAGAGACAAAGAGAGAGAGAGAGAGACAGAGACAGAGACATAGGCAGAGGGAGAAGCAGGCTCCATGCAGGGAGCCCAATGTGGGACTCTGGGATGATGCCCTGAGCCGAAGGCAGACACTCAACCACTGAGCCACCCAGGCATCCCTCCAAACAGATTTTTAAAGAAAGTACAAAAGCAACAATTTTAGGGAAATTAAGTAACTTTCCAAGCTCTGTTTTAAGAATCTCAGTTTCACTCAAGTGAGAAACACACTCATAAATGTGACTGACAGAGAGCTTTAGAAGATTAAAACACGAACTAAGTCAGGGATTTCCTTTTGCTGCTGAGGAGGTAATATATATGCCAAGATTTTCCATTACAGTTTCAACTTTGACAGAAAAATTAAATTTGAAAATAGCAACGGAGTAAATCTCACTAGATCCAATCTATGCAGGACTTGCACAGAGTGGATAACACACGTACTGTACCTTGTATTATGATGGTATATAGCTGGTTTGAAATAAATGTTTAAAATGACAATAGAAGGGGGAAAATACTTAATACTTACTTTCTTGGTACCCACTTTCTAATCTAGTATGATACCTCTCCATACTTCGAGGAAACAAAATAGAGAAAAAAGAAGAGATGGCCCTAGGAGATAAGGAAGTCCTGCAGCTATTCCTTTCCAAATAAGTAGATTTCAAATGGATATGCTCTTTCCCCAACAACAAATAACAGGCAAATAAAAGACCTAGATTAACAATAAGATAAGTACAAAGAACAAAGCATGTTTAACCACAAAAATGGGTTCTTCAGGTTGTAGAATCTATCCCCAATTTCACAGAAGAATAGTGAACTTTATTTAATTGGAATGATTTAGTGTAGAATAGACCAAAACTGGAAGGCCAAACTAAATATACTCTAAATATCTGACTTTTATGATCATATAATGAAACCATGTTCTCTACACATATTTTAAAACCAACCTACTATATAGTAAATAATTAGCATAACTTAAAATCACTATTAGTACAGTGATACACTTAAACCCATTATTTCCACAATGAAGAAAAACCAATATGGTTGGATAGAAGGAGAGAGAAATGGACAGAACTCCAAATGTCATAAAGTTGAAAGTATTTCTAAAGACTAATAAAAGAGGCAGTCCAGGTGGCTCTGTGGTTTAGCACCACCTTCAGCCCAGGGCATGATCCTGGAAACCGAGGATTGAGTCCCGTGTCAGGCTCCCTGCATGGAGCCTGCTTCTCCCTCTGCCTCTCTCATGAATAAATAAAAAATCTTTAAAAAAATAAATAAAGACTAGTAAAAGGATCAATATTTCATATCAAAAGTCTCATAATAAATATTGCCATTAACATTTAGTGATAAAGAGTCAATGTAAAAAAAAAAGTCAATGTAATTAAAGTTTATTCTCAAAAAGAAGCCTAGATGAACGAGAGCATGTAGTAATTAACTGCCTCCCCCTCATGCCTACAAGGAATTTCAACTTGCTCTGGAAATATGTATAAAAGATATATAATGCACATGCATATGTTTATAAGGGGAGGGTGTCACTTACCTCTGTGTCTCTGAACCTATCTTCATAATCCAACCTGTCCTTTTCTACAGCTGTCAGTTTTAGCTTCAAGTTAGATATTTCAGCCATCAGATCCAACTTCTGAGTTTCTAAGGATGTCCTACTCAGAAGCTCCTATTAGAATTTAAGAGATACATTCAAAAGTCATTTTATTATAAATAGCTACATATGGATGTGTCTCACAACTGCAAAGCAGTAACTATCAAGTCGAGAATGTGGTGAAGAGTTATCACTAAATAGACGAATTATAAAAAAATTATTTGCTTTAGTTCATTGAGCAGAAATAAACTTATACTTGCTTACTGGGGAGACAGAAGTATATAGATGCATATATATAAACCTTAATTGCTGCTAAGCCTGATGATAACACTGATGACAACATATTTACCATGTGCCAGGTACTGTTGTCACATGTTTTAAGTGGTTCAATCCTCAAAACAATCTTATAAAAAAGTAGAAACTCCTAAAGATAACCCAAAGATCATCCTTGTTCAACAAACGAGGAAGGTGAACAGAGAGCTTAGGATTTTGCCAAAAGTCATTCAGCAAGGAAATGGCAGAGTGAGGACTCAAACTGAAAGTTGCCTCCAGGGAAGCCCGGGTGGCTCAGTGGTTTAGCGCCACCTTCGGCCCAGGGTGTGATCCTGGAGACCCGGGATGAGTCCCACATCAGGCTCCCTGCATGGAGCCTGCTTCTCCCTCTGCCTGTGTCTCTGCCTAGCACGCGCACGCGCTCTCTCTCTCTCTCTCTCTCTCTCTCTCTCTCTCTCTCTCATGAATAAATAAAATCTTAAAAAAAAAAAAGAAAGAAAGAAAGTTGCCTCCAGTGCATACCGTATCCACGATCTTACAGGTCCTCTCACCTACGAGCATTGTGTGTGTGTGTGTGTGTGTGTGTGTGTGTGTGTTACAAGTTTGGGTTTTTGTTTTTTGTTTTCCAGTAAAAATCACACATGGCACTTATCTTTTTTATTAATCATAAAATATATGCTCATGTTTAGGAGTTAGGAGAGCATAAAAAAGAACATTAATATTACCTACAAGCCTATCAATATTTTATTCTGGATTCAAATTACATGAACACTTTCTATTGTGTGCATGTGTTTTGAGATCCTGCTACTCTAGGTTTTTCTTAAAATATGCCAATCTAGGTGAATCATAAACTTGACTGTTGCAGTAGAGTGAACAGAACATATAACTGTAGCACTTCAAATAGTTCAGCAAGAAAATTCCAACTTGGTGCTGGCTTCTGTACATACCTGCTGCAGCATTTCTTCTGTGGCGTTCAGCTTCTCCCTGTGCTCTTCAAGACAAAACTCCAAATCTCGGATCTTCTCTCCCTGAGCCTCTACCTGGTCTGTTAACACACTTACCTATAATTTAGAGCAAAATAGTGCAATGGATTAGGAAGAATTTGGGTCCCACTGCAAACTTTATTTCTCTAAATAGCAAAAAAACTGGATTGATGTCACTACCCATTGAGTTGTAAAGAAAAAAATTCTATGAATTAATAAGACAGCAATCCTTTACATTCTTATTTAAGTGATGCTTGTTGATCTGAGCACTTCAATTTTTAAGGAGGTTAGGGCTGATTGGGGAAATGCAATTACCTTATAGTTAATAGGTTAACATCAATTCAACCATTTTATGTGAACAGGCATGTATACACATCATCTTTTTTGGCAGGGGGTAGAAGGGGAGTTGGAGGTAGTATTGGAGATTAAGAGAGGAAATGGAGTTAATGTTTGAAAGAGAAGTTGTCAAGGACTATTCAAGCTTGATACTTCAGGAAGAACAAAGAAAAGGATCCAGAGAATTCAAATTCTATGCCATCTTTCATGATTGCATTGTTCACAAATGTGTTCAAATCCAGGATGTAACTCAAAGATCCACAAGAAGACACTGGATCAGTCTTTTGTCTTTGGGGCTTATTGAAAACTATGAGTCTTTCCCAATGATTACCAGTCTAGTCAATATACTGCAATTTATTTAGCTTAAAATACCAAAATAAAAATATTTGTCAAGCACTTCAAACATTATAAAGAAGAAGAAAACTCAACTGTAGCCAATAAATCAAACTCCACTACTCTCTTTAGGTTCTGTTTGGCTAATGGTATCATTTTTAAAATTGAAAAATTAAATATATTCAGATTCAGAAATATTCAGATTTATGAATATATATGGTATAAAATTGCAATTTCTGCTGTATATTAAAAAATCAGATCAAATAAGATGACAGATCAGATAATCAGCTTAGATGACACTGAGTCTGTCATCAGAGGAGCCAAGGCTGATTCAGGGCTGCTCACTCTAGACTGGGTAAGCATACCCCTGTTCTGCCACCATCCCCACCACTCCCTATTGTGTACAGATGGCCAATGTACTTATTTCCATTAGCAGTCTAACTCCTATAAGGATCTGAATATGCCACCCCAATTTAAAATGGTCTTTGTAAATATGTCATGAAAAAAGAACAGCATTTTAAAAACACTTGCCTGAAGAACAAGAGATTCTTTATCATTTTCTAAACGTGCTAGTCTTTCTTGATATACCTCTCCATTCCCAGGCAGGTGTCCATTTGTCTGAAAGGAAAAAAAAAAAAAAAAAGGAAGTGATATGTGTAAGGCTTGACTCTCTCGAAAACTGAACTACTGTGGGCAAATAAAATCGCAGACATTTTCAATCCAAGGACGCTCCATGGAATTCAGCACAGCTATTGCTACAGCTATTAGAAAACACAACACTGCAACTTGGTTCATTGACCTCACAGTAGGTAAACAGGCATGTTAGGCATTTAGGCATGTTATCATCAAACAAGACAACTTCTCATCAAGCAGAAAATCATGACCTACAAGGAAGAGTGGTTACTAACATTTATTGGCAGTGAGTGGATGCACACCCAGGTTATGCAAAGTTCTGTGAGTGTATGGTCGGGCACAAATCCCCATTCCCCACCCCACCCGCAATGCTCAGTGCTACTAATTCTGGGTGGGGACAGTGGTAATGTTCTGGTACACCTTACGTCCCTCCCCTCTCCTCCAAAGGTCCAAAAACCAGGACTGCAAATGCCTGCCTTTACATGGGAGGCGGGGGGGGGGGGGCTGCGCAGCTCGCACCAGCTTCTTCCCTGCTTGCTACTCAGGTCCAAATCATAGGGCAAGTCTCCCCTTTGTCTCTGAAGCCTTTCTTTCTTCCCCTCAAAGCTTGGGCATCAGCCACAGTGACTTCCCCTGGCAGCGCTGACAAGCTGTCCTCATCAGCCATTTATGGAAATCATCCTGAATTCACTAACTTCTTGTGAGTTTGCTTGATTGTATAATGTTATGCCAAGCCCTGCAGGTAGCCTGTAAACAGGTATCATCCAGGGACCACAGCACTTGGCCCGGTGCTCTGCTCAGACTAGAGCTCCCTTTCTTCCCCTCCCTCCGGCCCCCACCCTTTTTATCAGGTTCCTGTAGGTTTATGCACGGTATAAATGCCCAAGGAAGCACAGATTGGGAAAGTCGGTCACTTTTTTTTTTCCTCAGTTGCCTCATACATAAAAGTCATTAAGGAGACACATGAAAAGGCTCACAGAGAGCAGACAACATAAAAACATCATTTTGAAACATAGTAGTATATGTGATATGTCCCTTGCCTCATTTAAATAGTTCAAAATCATATAATATATAGTCCCAATAGAATTTCCTGATTCCTCAATTCAAATACAACAGAAATAAAAGCCAGTGGAGCTCAAATTGGTTAGATGGGACCATCCAGAGTTCAATCAAAAAAGCAATAACTTCAGTTTTAAAACCAGAGAAACACAAACTCATCATTACCCCCTAGGACACAGCTGATGTGACACCTATCATTTTCCAGAGGTAACTGGTATTATTATTCTATCTTCCCAAATAATGCAGTTTCCCATATAAATTCTGGGAACAAAGGCATGTGCAAGCAAGTATGTGCAAGCAAGCACACGCATGCGCGCGCGCGCACGCACACACACACACACACACACACACACAGAGCTTTAACAAAAAAGAAAATTAGATGTTGCTTCTAAAAACTTAGATGCACAAGATAGATTTCCCATGAGACTACAAAAGAATCAGAAGCTAATTTAGGAACCCTGCAATGTGTATTCAGAGTGGATGAAGTTTTTAACATCAGCTGCTTGACCACATACCTGCGCAATACCACTGGGGACTAACCATGAAAATGAAATTTATGTAACTTCTTGAGGACAGTGTTTTGGAAATGAGCTAGGATGTATAATACATGTTCTCAATCTAAGGAAGCGCTGAGATCAGCCGTATACAGTTTTAAATTCTTCATTCTGACTATGAACGATAGCAGACATCTGCTTTTAAAACCCCACGTGAGCGAAGTTTTATAAACAGACACATTTCATTAGGTAGAAAAAAAAAAGGTTTCTGTCCACTGAGGATAAAAAGCAAAAGTTATTTCTTCTAACTGAAGGAAATTATAGAAAGATTAGAAGTGCTGCTACAGCAAGTTCTAGAAGTGTTTCACGAAGCTACTGCATATGATATGGAAATCAGATGTTCCAAAATCAGTATCACAAAACTATCTCGAAATCAAAATACTAAAAATTGACTCACAACGAGCATACTCACACTTCTCAAGACTAGTGATGTTTATGAGAGCTCATAATGTTCAAGTAATTAAAAAAAAAAAAAACACCAAAAGTCACTATAGCAAAATAAAGCAAAAGGGCCACCAATGGAGTAGTTACATAATTTTAAAGTAGTGTTTTGACCTATTCAAGTAGGTAAAGGTCTAATCTAGTCACACATTTACTCACATACTTATGCCAATTTTGTTACCGTTGGCTTAAAAAATGTTAGAGAGAGGTAAATTGCATTAAGCAAATACGCTACCGCCTCTAGTTTTTCTCCAATTATCATGCTTTACCTACCAGACCTCTCAAAACCTCACCAAACATGGCTTGCTCTCTCACACATAAATTCCATTTCTTCTGCATGGACAGTATTTCCCATCCTTTCCTCATTCCTTAAAGTCCAGCTCAATCAGGGCTTGGTCTGTGAAGTCTTCCTTGAATTACTCATATGCCAGTTACAGATTCCAAATGAACCCTCACCACAGCAGGCCTCACCCTGAATGGACCAGGTTAGACTTGGCTATATAGATGTTCCTCTCTTCCAACAAAATACATTCTTTTTAAGTAGGTTTGCCTTTGCATCTGACACACAGTGAGTCTGAACCACATGACTGCTGAATGAGCAAGAATAGGTGTTTAATAAACACTGGGTGAATGCAAGATGAATGACTGCTTGGTTTTAACTTGGCCCTCTTGCTTCTCAGCAAGACTTTTATTCATGTCTTTCCCTACAACCTGGCATGTACTCCATCGTCAACTTCAAGCTTGTGCTCCCCTCTTCCTATCATGTTTAGGAGGTGTTCTCAGAGCCTTTTTAATGGAGTATAAGTGAGACTACCTTGCATGAACTCCTTTATGGATTCTCTTCTCCAAAGCATAGTATATATTGCCTCTGACATCTTCCCTTTCTTTCCTCCTGCCAGACTTCAGGGAACTAAGTTTACTTCTAAGAGTTCATTATTCCACATAACCTTTGGGACCTTGATTTCCTGCTTCCCTGAGACTTACAATTATCACCTCTATCCTTACCATTCTCAATGTCTTCGTCCTCATGAACTTTCTTCCATTCCTCTCTCCAACAAGAGAGGACACAAGGCTTTGTGTCCACCTCTATACTCACCTCCCATTCCTCTCTGCCTCTAAAGATCCATTTTTCATAGCCAGTTCCCACCTCCTCCGCCTTCCCTTGTGCCATATTCTCTTCTCCCTCTATACTGGCTTCCCTTCTGTGTCTTGTCTTGTCCTTCACAATTTAGTTTTTCATCATATTCTGCCATAGGTAGCTTAATCTTACAAGAGTTGGTCACTTATTCTCAATGGTCCCTCAAGGTAAAACTATCTTATACTTCTTTTGATTCTCTCAAGAGTCGTGAGCATATAATTAAAGACATATTTAGTATAAACTCTTGTTGAGTAGATTTGACATCCAAAGCACTGAAACCAGCCCAAATTAATCAAAATTCCAGAGATGTGTTCAAAATAACTCTTTTTACTTTAACTCATGAGGTGACCCTTTATTGACCATATTTGTTTCAACTGAAAGTTGAAGTCAAGATTGGCATCAACTTGGGGATTTTAATACTACAGTATCCAACTAACAGTGTGTGTGGAGGGGGGGTATGGGACCCTAGGGAGGGAAAGGCAGGGCAAGGGATCCAGCTTGACAGTAACAGTGATACTTTAAGAAACTCATGGTGTTGGCCAAATTTTCCTGGCATGACAAGGGGAAAATGTCCAAAAGGGCTCTAGTCCTCACAGAATTATAGAATCCTAAACTTAGCCAGAAACCACACTGGGAATATGAATTGCCTGAATTCACATGACAGATGCTACATATGTCAAAGGTACAATAAACCTCACCCCTTGTCATCTAAATAGAGAAGTTCTTCTATTTACATTAATTTCCTTTAATTATCAAGTACATACACAATCAAGTATAAAGATGTAATAAACGTTATTATCTGTTTATATATAAAAGTAGAGACCTTATGTACCCCATCACACAGTATCAACTGTTATTACTTCAAGGTAGGAGGGAACGTTTTGCCAGTTATTTTTACTTAAAGTGTCATGCTTTTCCTTTAATTTTCTTAGTTCTGTTGGTTTGCATTGGTCTACAGTTGTCTCCTCTCTCTCCCCAACCTTCATTTTGCTTCATTCTTCTTTCCTGAGCTCTGTTGTCCTAAATCCAAAATCAACAAACAGGCAGTGATTTGCCACAATTATATACTTCCTTATGTTGTAACACAGAGCTCACTTTGAATGTAACATTCCCTAATCAGAAGGGTGAGTAGCTAAATTAAAATGGGTAAAAGAAAATCAGTTCAATTTCATATGGACAACAAATGTTAAGAAATGTACTGGTGTTATAACATACACATCCCCCCACACACATACATACACATACTATCCACTGACGTCAATACACTTATTTTTAAAATTAGTTTTAAAGACTGCTGTCCAGTTTTTTATTTCACGATTACATTTTTCAAAATTTCATATCAAGAAAGAAAAAGGAAGGTGCAGCCTACTAAAGCTCTTTTAATTAAATGTTATCTCCAGCTACCAAAAGAAATATCTCATGCAAGGGGCTCTTGCATCCTAGTCAACATTACATCTCTAGCACTCCATGCAGACATTTATTGCCTGTACTCTACCAGACACGGCAGCAGGAGGAGATGGAAAAAAACTCAAAAGCCACGAATATCACAGTCACAGTTCACTGGGGTCCAACAACACTAGAAGGAATCTCATATGCTATTGTCCAAAGAATCAAAGAATGTGATTATCAACAATGTTGGCAATCAAGCCACCAGGCTGCAGTACTCCACTTCTCAGTCCTCTCAGCAAGTGTGATGGAATTAAGGTGGTGAGGCTTTATCCTTGTGCTGTAAATAATTATCTCAGGGCAACATCACTGCCATTTGGAGATACTGGAGCATCCCTTCTGGTTGGCTGGCACTCCTATGTACTTTCACACCTCTGATTCAATCAATCTATTTCCCCCTCCAAAAATTTTTTTTGATACATTAGGATTTCTTTTATTCATTCATGAACTTCTGAAATTTCTAAAAAAGTTAATATAATACCAGGGCAACAAGGACAATCTTTTCATGAAGCCTCCATTTATTCCAAAATCTCATCACATCTGCTGAAAAAGAAAACCAAAGGGAGAAATCAATCTCATATATATACTTCATCACACCTAAAAAGCCCAATTGTGACCCTCTCCTAGAAAAGATGTCGTTTAGGGGCATCTAGGTGGCTCAGTCAGCCAAGCATCTGCCTTCAGCTTGGGCTTTGATCCTGGGGTCCTGGGACTGAGCCCCACGTCAGGCTCCCTGCTCAGTGGGGAGTCTGCTTCTCCCTCTGTCCGCCCCCCATCCCCTGCTAGTGTTCTCTCTAGCTTGCACTCATTCTCTCAAGTAGATAAATAAAATCTTAAAAAAAAAAAAAAAGATGAAAGTTTATGCAATGCTGTCAGAAAGTCCATCAAGGACCAAAGCTCAGAATAAGCCTGAATATATTCTGTACTTTCCAAGTCAAGATTGCAGATGTGGTCACACTCAGGCTTTGGCTTTTACTTCTGGGTTTTAATGTTCTCAGAGCATGTTTTCCAGAAACAGAAAGCATCTTCTTAACAAAACAGCCAACTAGAGCAAAAACAAGTGCTCTGGGGTGAGAAGGATCACAGTAGTAGGCCACCTTCTAGGACACACTACTCCCAAAATGGAACTGCCTCTCAAATGTCTCCAAGAGCAGCAGACGCCAAGTGCTTCATCTGCTGGTCTCATTAGAAATATCATGAGGGAGCGTCCCTGGAGGTATTTAGGCATCTGGTGCCAAAATACCAATGGCCAAGATCCAGTGGCCACCCCATTATACCCTTATCTGTGCATCCGTGGCCAGAGCAGAGTGAGTTAGATAGATGTCTTTAGTGTCTCCTGAAAGGTTCTTTTAGACACCTTACCTGAGGAGGGGAAGACAGGTTCTGGCCCTTCCTCACTTTATTTTTATGCACATCACTATGTTCCCTGAAGCTTCTGCAGTGGCAAGAAGCATACATGTTGAGACTACATCATCCTGGTCACAGGTAGACTTCATAGCCTTCTGAGTTACACAAGGATGAAGAACAGAAGAGCCTTAGAAGCTAAGACCCCACTCCTATTTGAGGAGCTTGCAACACTCATACACTCATCCATTATTCATTCATTTATGCAGAGTTTACTGAAAGCCAGCTATGTGACAGGATGCAGACAAAGCAACAGAATCTTCTACTTTGAGAAGGGTAACACGAGAGCAAGGAAAAATGCTGTCCCTATTTTTCTTGCCACTTATCCTTTCTTCATTCAGTTTTATGAAGGAACAGACAAAATCTCTTTCCATTCAGTCCTAACAAACACCAGCAGCCAGGGATTTCATTAAAAGTACATCTCTCACTTATCACACTGCACTAGCTTCACCCACGAATTCTGCTCCCTCTGTCTATGGACACTTTTCTTGGGAGTTTACCAGAAGCCTGGTACCAGAAGGGGAAAGCAGCTTTCACTTCAGCTAAGATGTCTCAGTGAGACATAACTCAGATAATTGTGACCATGTACAGAATACAACCTTAAGGTGTACCTGGGGGTACACATGAAAAGAGAAGCTGGTCAGAGAGCAGTGGGGTGGGGCACTGGGGGGTTGGTTTGAGGATGGTGGGACTGGAATGGATCCTGTGGCTAAGAGTCAGGGACCTAGGAGAATAGCCAGCAGCCCTGGAGAGAACATGCCCCCCCGACCTGAACTCTTTAAATTATGAGTGTTTTTATTTTTATGAAGCTTGTTGTAAAAACTTTAAAAAAAAAAATACACTTGCGGGCGATCCCTGGATGGCTCAGCAGTTTGGTGCCTGCCATAGGCCCAGGGCGTGATCCTGGAGTCCCGGGATAGAGTCCCACATCAGGCTTACTACATGGAGCCTGCTTTTCCCTCTGCCTGTGTCTCTGCTCCCCCTCCCCGGTCTCTCATGAATAAATAAAATCTTTAAAACATAAAAATAAAAAGATACACTTGCAACTAATATTACCAGTTTTTTTAAATGTAGGAAGAAGGTAGAAATGCATTATATGGTGATTTGTCAGGTCAGAAGCCAGTGAGGCGCACTTCACTTTACTTGTCAAGTGGACTTACATCGTCACATTTGTACTCACTTTGTCGAAAACTATTTTTTTTGTGATTTCTGCTGATTTTGAGAAATGCCTCAGATTAAAACCTCCAAATAATCGGACCCTTGTGAGATTTCGTGACCTGGTCAAGGTCATGATCCTCAACTTCATCTACCGGGAAAAGCACTGTATGAATGTTCTAGGCAACTCACTGAGTTAGACCTAAAGTAAACAGAAACTGCTTGCTTGGCTCAAACAGTTCAACATATTTTTCTATTTGCTCTCTTAAACTTGGAGCTTGATAAAGCATGTAATTCCCCATCATTAATATTTGTATTAACATGATAACATTTCACAATCAAAACAAAGAATTCCACCTCAGTAATTGAACAAATATGACATATTTAATAGATTTTTTTTTACCACAGGAAATGAACTTAAGTCTTAAGTTTGTTCGTGTTTAGAAGGCTAACAGTTATAGCTACCTTATTAAAACAAACTGATTCTTTTAGATTTAATATTCCTTCACTAGTAACAAACTACTAGTGTGACTTTTTTTTTCTCTTCCAGCTTCTGATCCTATGAAACAATAAAATGGGCAGCAGAAATTAGGAAGGATTAAGTGGCATCCTACAGGAAACCAGGGGCTCTCCCTGGCCCAGGCAAAATAATAATTAGAACTGCAACATGGACTCCCAAATTGGCTATCATTAAACATAGATTAAACAAAATCTTAATTATGCAACTAGTAATATGTCTTTCTAAAATACTGTGGAAGCTTCTCCACAGTCTGAAAAACATCTGTACTCTTTGTCAAAAAAGTGAACTCTGTATGAGTAATGTGTAACTGGAGCCAACACTCTCTTTCCCTCTTTGCAAAGGGATCCCATGGTTTTCTATCCACTCTCTACCATCTACTCTTCAGTATTACCTTTTTGACTCCTCATTCACCAGGCTCACTGACCAGCGCTCATAAAACCACTCACGGGACTTACAATTCTGTGTGGCACAACTATCATCCCCATTTTACAGATGAGGAAACTAAGACAAACAGCTTAAAATTTTTCCCTTGAATCATACAAGCTTCTAAGACCCAGCACCAAAAATCAAAAGTTAGGTCGGCTGTCTCCAGCACCTGCATTTGTTAATGCCAAGATACAATCTGACCAATCTTATTACACTATGAACATTCTTACTTTTGGTTGTGGTGAAAGACACACACAAATTTGATCATTTTTTACCATTTTTAAGTCTATTGTTCAGTGGCATGACTTACAAAACAATCACTTTTTCTAATCTTCTCCTTTGAATGTTTTTAGTGGTATTCTTTAGATTTTATTTGTTCAACACATATTAAACCCATGGTATTTACCATTGTGTTCAGGCAAAAGGAAGATCTGCCATGCCATCCATTTTTGAGAAGGATGCCTAGAAAGAGGCCCCATTGTTCAATGAATAAGAACATTTAAAGCCCAATTCTACAATTTAACTTGCACACTAGAACTGAAATGATCACCACGAACCACTAGATGGCACTTCATATCAAATATGCTGTACACCTCCACTGCTTTTGGAAGGATCTATTCACTGTACTTCCTATTTGAATTGTTATTGGGTCCTTTTACAGTAAACTTCCCAATGGTACTGAGAAAGCATATTACATGCATGGTTCTTTCCCTTACAAGATTATTTGCTTTTGGGTCACAGCAGGTCATCCAAGCAAAATTTTAAAGCTAGTCCACTTTTATAGGCACAAACAGGTGATGTGCTGGAACCCATGAAATGTATACTACCAGCACTTTAAAAACATTTTTTCCTTCACAAGAATTGGGATCCACTGAGGGATAAAAATCAAGGCAAACCTGCTGCCCTGTACTTTTTTTTCCCTTGAGCTAATCAGCTATTCTATGCTCCAAATTTTGGAACAAGCAACCAAAGATTCAAAACATGGGATTTGTAACATGCAGGCATCTACCATTGGACTCTGAAGCCATTCGATGAGTGTTTCTGCTGTTGAATCTGGGATCTGGCATCTCAAACCTTCTTTCTCCTCTGTGTCCATCATCCCTAACAACCCATGCAGGTCTTCTACAAGGTGCAGAGCTCGCAGGCTTCCCATGAATGGGGATGTGGGAGACTGGCAATCAAAAATCCCACTGGAATATTCCAGGGCCTTAGAACCTAGGTTTAAAAAAAATAGAAATCACAGAGAGCACAACAGGATTTATATTAGATAATATACCAAAGTTGAGGGTGGCAAGTTCAGTCACCATTCCCAAGTATTCATTTGGGAATACTCAAAACAAGCAACAAGGCAAAGAAAATATTTCAATCATAGAAATCTCTCCAAGTCATAGTTATTTGGAGCAAAAATAAAAGCCATATAATTGATGGTAAGTATCAATTGCCAAATACCTAACAGGGAGACCAATTGTGTAGTACGACAAGAATATAATGAAGGAGCTTTGGTGAAGGATGTGCTGGCCTCATGGATATAAGGGCTAAGAAGGGAACAGGTCAGTTTGGACAGAACCAAGTATTCTCAAAAATAAACATTTAGGTAGCATAAAGTCTCGAAATTCCCTGCAAAGAAGTTTCAGGTTGAGGTGGAAATTTGTTCAGCATAAGGGTAACAGGACCAACTCCCAGTTAATTTACCAGAATTTAATCTCTGAAGAAGTTCAATGAATTATATGTATACATGCATATAAACATTCTCTCCCTTGATTTTGTTTAGTCTAGCATCAAATGTTCTTGCTAATATTAACTTTAAGAAACAGTTTTACAGCCATTTTTCCCCTATTACTTACAAGGGAAAGCATTCTACGACTTAAATCCATATAACTAATCTATAGCCCATTCCGATAGCATTCATGTATACCTCTTCATCATTTTGATTTTTATTTTCTGGTCTGTCATATATACATACTATTGGTTATACATACTGACTTTATATTTAGGTGTCAATAATTATGATATCGAGGCTACCACCTCATTATTCTGAGGGTCTTATAACTGGAAGAAAACTGCAAGCCAATGTGTAAATTGGTTGGCCATACAACTTGATCAATTCCAATGATCGGGAGAGGAATTTCCTTCCAGTTAGTCCATTCCACTGACCTTCCTTAAAACTAGACCAAATTATTTGGTCCAAAATCTGCAAAACCATGATAATGATAACCATTAATATGCTATGCCCAATGCTAAATGCTTCACATAATGCTCTGAATCAATCCCCTCAGGAACCATGTAAGGCTGAGAGGACAATCCAGAAAAATATAAATTGAGGAGGCTATGTAAGGGAAAGGGTGGAACAGAAGAACATTAAAAACAAAACAGCCTATAATGTCCTATTCCGGCAATTTTAAGCATGAGGATCACCTGATAATACTATTAAAAACAGATGTGGGGACCCCTGAGAGGCTCAGTGGTTGAGCATCTGCCTTCTGCTCAAGGCCTGATCCTGGAGTCCCGGGATCGAGACCCTCATTGGATTCCCTGCATGGAGCCTGCTTTTACTCCTTCTGCCTGCGTCTCTGCCTCTCTCTGTGTCTCTCATGAGTAAATAAATAAAATCTTTAAAAAGAAAAATAAAAACAGATGTGTCCACAGTCACCTTCCATCCCGTTAAGTCTCCATCACAAAACAAGGTGAAAGAGAGGGGACAGATGAGTATTTAGAAAAACTCCTCAAATATTTCCAGTCATATCTCCCTCCTACCTTAAGTGGAGAACTACTGATATTAATAGGAGAACATAAACCCGGGTCCAACCTACAAAGCTACCAACTGACTCAGCGTGAGGTGGGACCCAGGAAATCTTGGTTTTCTGAATAACTCTAATGTTGGTCCTGACTGCCAGGGCTAAAGAACAAATACACTCATCTAGCAGAGTCTATAAAATGTAAATCCTCAACTACTGTCCAGAAATACTTTTCTTGACTAGAGTTTCACCAAGAATTTAAGGTTATAACATCTAATAAAAGCCTAGATCTGGCTTTAGTTACATTTTCCAAAACTGCAACACAGTAAATCCAATCTGTTTTCCATATAATAGTCCTAAGACTGTGTGAAAGTATCTATCATGCCCTGAGCAAGAGTATACTTTTCCAGGTTAAGCTTAACCAGTTCCTTCCTCACCAGATGTGGCTGTTAAACTCTCTGCCTTCGTGTTCACCTCCTCTAGGTAAGTTTTGCCAATAACTTCTTCAAAACTGATATTCCAAGAACTAAATACAGTATGCAAGATGTCTAATCTACGAAGGAGGTCAAATTAAAATCTGGTCTCGAGGTATAAAGCGTAACAAAGGAGGCCAAACTATAACGTGCCATATCCCTCAACAGAAGAACCTCTGACAAAGAAAACACCTGTGGCTTCTTTGAACCACTAAGACAGAATATGGCCAAATTTATGACCAGAAGAAATAAGCAACAGGGACCAAGAAAGCTAGAATTGAGGAGCAGTAGAGGACAAGGGCATCTTGACCCTGACCATCCGGTGGATGACAACCTCACCCACTAGCCCATTCAATCCTCTCTTCATTACTATGGGTTTCTAAATACATAAAGGTACTTCTCCTGCGATAAAACACAGAATATAACATGAGACCTTAGGAGAACTTAGGCAGCCACTGACCTTGGGAAAACAAAAGGACCTGAAAAGTTCACCTATGGGTCAGTCCCTTTGGTCATGAGGAGAAAAAAGGAGGTCATGGTCTATACTATCTCTTTGCTCCACTTCCATAACAGAGAATTGCTCAAGATTCTTAACAAGGGAGTAATACGACCAAATCTGTGTTTTAGAAAGGAAATCCTGGTGGTCTAGAGAATGATGGACTTGAGTGGGAAAGCAAGACTGTCAAGAACACCAAGGGAGAGGGTTATTGGAACAAAGCGAGGCGAGGTAAGGACAGATTTTAGAGGGGATAAGAGGGAATGGTAGAATTTAAAGGGACGTAAAAGTGATAGAACTTGATTAAGCAGGACTATGAGGGACAAAGGTCTAGAGTGACTTAAATTTCTATTTAAGAAACTGCGTGGATGGAAGGTTATGAAATTAGACAAGACTAGTAGGAGAGGCTTCTGAGTAAAGAAAATGAGCTCAACACTTCACTTTATGTGATGACATGGATGTGCATATAGGCTATTTCAAAGGAGATATATGATTGGCAATTAGGGACCAAAAGCTTAGCAGAGAATTGAGAGGGTAAACAGACGTAAGAGTGGTTGGTGGGAACATGAATGTTGAATTAAAGGGAACAAATCAGAACATCTGTGGCTACTGGGTATAGCAGTATCCCTCAAAGTGTGGCCCGCAAACTAGCTGCACCTAAATCACATGAAATGCAATTTCTTTATTCTTGAATCAGAACCCTAGGGTGGAAATGGAATTTGACATTTTAAAATAAAGCTTGAGAGTAATACTGGTATAAAATGGAGAAGAAGTGGGATCCCTCAGTGGCTGAGTGGTTTGGCACCTGCCTTCAGCCCCGGGTGTGATCCTGGAGTCCTGGGATTGAGTCTGCATCAGGCTTCCTGCATGGAGTCTGCTTCTCCCTCTGGCCCCCGTCTCTCATGAATAAATAAATAAATAAATAAATATATTTTTTAAAAAATGAAGAGGGACCAAGATGAAACCATGGGGGATCTAGAAGCAGCCAATAAATGAAAATAAGAAAGTGGAAGGGTAACTCTTTTATGACGAGTTGGAATGAAAAAGCCAAGAACACAGAGTAAATATCATGGTTCCATCTTTCAGAGGACACAGATTACCTGCTATAATCCCATCCATCTGCTCCAACGCTGCAGCCAACATGTCACTTGCATCACTCATCATTTTATTGTCAAGGGTAAATTCCAACCTAGATCTGAGAAAACAATGATGTTACCATTATATCCTTTAAATCACACATTCTTCCTGACAAGTGTGATAACTCAACTTTAAATTACAACCCCACCTAGATGTCAGATATGGAAAGAGACTTTCTGAAGTAGTAGAGCTAAATTAGGAATGCTCAGTAGATGAGATTTTTTTTCTTCCTGCATCCACCCAATTTCTGTTCTTTCAAGTTTGCTTTTAGTTTTTTTCTGTATAAAAATTTACCATAAGACTTGTCTAAGAAAAGAGTTTACTAGCATATACACTAAACACATACACACACAACCAGTGGTATTTCATAATATAACAGCTCAGCACATGTACAAGTGCCTACAGTGGTCTCCATACATTTACATAAATATTCATAATCCCTAATCATGACAACAACCCAATAAAGTGAATAAATTTGTCTTCATTACATAGATGATGTCAAAGATGTTTGTTGGTTTTTACATGGAAACCCAGCAAATAAATAGCAAATATCAGGTTTTAACCTGTGTCTGTTTGACTTCTACTATAATACACATTAAATTTGTTTATCTGATCTTATCTGAAAAATAGGTTTATGCTGAAATTATGACATAATCTACTCATTCTTTTACTTATCAAAAAATGTATTGAAATTATTCTTCATATTTAATTATGAACAAGAAGAAGTCAAGACTATTAATTAAGGCGCTTCAAGTACCAGACTAAGCACCCCTGTAAATTCTTCCCAAAAAGGAGAATAAGGCCCTAGATACTTTGCAGATACTGTGGTGTAGCAAATATCTTGGAAATTAAGGGTATGCTGTTTAAAAGAAAACTTTGCCCACTGTTTCCAAGCAGCCAGGTCTCACCACTGTACTTTTATAAATATATTTACAGTTCTGATAAACACCTTCTTGGATCAGTTCTCTACTCTAAATTCAGTCCAATGAAATGCCATATAATACTTCGATTTTGTAGTTTTTAGAGATTTTGTCTAAGATTTCCCAGAACTTAACTTCAGAAGTTGTAAAATATCACAACCATTTTAGTGGAAAAACTACAGAACAAAAATACTCAAGGCAAGTGTTTACAGTCACTGAGAAATTAGGGAGTTAATAAAAAAGGTTATGAACTTAGGTAGTTCTCAAGAATTTACTTGCACAGTCCAGAGAGGTGTGCAGAGAAAATTTAATAGTCACATTTCAATATGAAAACTCAAAACTCAGTGACAACTGAGAACATAAAGGCTTAAGCCAAAGGCCATGCAGTCCCTGAATTTCATATAATTAAGTGGCTTGCATTCCCTTTCATTTCAAAAGTAGCACTTCAAAGAGCTCTAGATATGATGATAAATATATAAATAACACAAAGAGATACAAACCAGGCTCACCTATAAAGATGGCTAATAAAACAAAATAATGCTCATATTAGAAAAATTCTCACCTCATTAAATTAGAAAAATAAATATTCATCTTTGTTAGCAATTGTATTTATGTACAGCAGAAACACTTTTTCATGTGTGATAGGTAGTTATGTATTTCTTCTCTGTTAGCCTTTCAAATGCTATGACATAGAAGCATGAGAACCTAGACCATGGTTTTCAAAGTGGTGAAGAACCAGTTGTTTTTTAATTTCCAATTCTTCATTTAATAAATTAGAATATTAGACACAGCAGCGCCATGGCGGTCGGCAAGAACAAGCGCCTTACGAAAGGCGGCAAAAAGTTCAACGTGGATGGAACTGGAGGGTATTATGCTGAGTGAAGTAAGTCAATCGGAGAAAGACAAACAGTGTATGTTCTCATTCATTTGGGGAATATGAATAATAGTGAAAGGGAATATAAGGGGAGGGAGAAGAAATGTGTGGGAAATATCAGAAAGGGAGACAGAACATAAAGACTCCTAACTCTGGGAAACGAACTAGGGGTGGTGGAAGGGGAGGAGGGCGGGGGGTGGGGGTGAATGGGTGACGGGCACTGAGGGGGGGCACTTGAGGGATGAGCACCGGGTGTTGTTCTGTATGTTGGTAAATTGAACACCAATAAAAATTACTTTATTAAAAAAAAGAAAGAAAGAAAGGCGGCAAAAAGGAAGCCAAGAAGAAAGTGGTTGATCCATTTTCTAAGAAAGATTGGTATGATGTGAAAGCACCAGCTATGTTCAATATAAGAAATATTGGAAAAACACTAGTCACAAGAACTCAAGGAACCAAAATTGCATCTGATGGTCTCAAGGGTTGCATTTTTGAAGTTAGCCTTGCTGATCTGCAGAATGATGAAGTTGCATTTAGGAAATTCAAGCTAATCAGTGAGGATGTGCAGGGCAAAAACTGCCTAATTTCCATGGCATGGATCTTACCCGTGACGAAAGGTGCTCCATGGTCCAAAAATGGCAGACCATGATTGAAGCTCATGTTGATTTAAAGACTACCGATGGTTATTTGCTTCGTCTATTTTGTGTTGGTTTTACTAAAAAATGCAATAATCAGATTCGGAAGACCTCTTACGCTCAGCACCAACAGGTCCGCCAAATCCGGAAAAAGATGATGGAAATCATGACCCAAGAGGTGCAAACAAATGACTTGAAAGAAGTGGTAAATAAATTGATTCCAGACAGCATTGGAAAAGATATGGAAAAAGCTTGTCAGTCTATTTATCCACTCCATGATGTTTTTGTTAGAAAAGTAAAAATGCTGAAGAAGTCCAAGTTTGATTAGGAAAACTCATGGAGCTTCATGGTGAAGGTAGTAGTTCTGGAAAAGCTACGGGGGATGAGACCGGTGCTAAAGTTGGAACGAGCTGATGGATATGAACCACCAGTCCAAGAATCTGTTTAAAATTCAGACATTTAATGGTGACAAATAAAAACATATTTGTGATGTTATAAATAAATAAATAAATAAATTAGAATATTAAATTGCAATAAGTGTTTATAAATGTTTATCTCAATCTCTATACTTATCACGTAGCAGCCTGCATGTAACAGAAAGGGGAAGACAGACAGCAAAACAGTCAATTAAAATTGTATTTAAAAATTAGTGGAAAGGTGCTAAGGAAGAAAAATGAAGCAGGAAGAGAGGGTCAAAAGTTTGGAAGGGTTTGCAAATTCAATAGGGTAGTCTGATTCATGTTTATACATCTTTTTGCCCGTGGGCACTCCCTAACCTATTGTATGGAGAGTAGCAAGGATCATGAAATATCAAAATTTTATTGGCTTAAAGAGGAGAGGCAGTAAGTTTCTTACCTTATACACAAAAATGTTTTTTAATACTAATTCATGGTAGACTGTGGTAAATTAAGAATATACAATGTAATCCACCAAAATGACAAAAGATGAGTAAAAAATCAGGTTAATGAAATGGAATACTAATAAAATCCTCAATCCAAAAGAGGGCAATAATGGAGCAATGGACAGGTGGTAGAAACAGAAATCAAATGGCAAGATGGTACATTTAAATTCAATCATACAAATAATTACATTAAAAACAAACAGAACAAACACCATTAAAAGCCAGAGATTGTCAGACTAGCTTTAAAAAAAAAAAAGACAGACCTAACTATACCCTGTTAATAGAGATATGCTTTAAACATAAAGAAAAAGGATGCAAAATGAAATACCATATAATATAGAAAGCCTAAGAAAGCAAGAGTGGCTATATTTGTAAGAAAAATGGTTTTCAATTGAGAAGTATTACTAGAAAGAAAGATATTTTATGATGAGTCAGTTAATCAGGAAGTCATAAAAAATGTAAACATTTTGGCAACTAATAACAGAGCTTTCAAATATATAAGGCAAAGCCCAACACAATTAAAAGAGAATTACATAAATTAAGTCACTATATTTGATGTAATTTTTGATATGGTTAAATTTAAGCGTATGGTCCTGTCCTTTTTGTTTTGTCCCATCTATCATTTTCAAACCTCTTTTGGAATGGCAAAGGTAGGTACAAGGTAGGAAAAAAATCCCTTAATAACAGAAGATTTGAACATTATCATCAACCATCCTGACCCAATTTGATTTATATAAGAAAACATCCAAATACAGAATATATATTTTTCAAGTCCACGTGTTATATTCATCAGGATAGTCCATATATTCAAGGACAATATATTCCAAATGGACTTCAAAGGACTATGCAGAAAATAAGAACAGCAAATTGAAGTGGTAAAGTACTAATATTAAAATAAAATTTCCAGATTTATTAAAATTCTGACTTGCCGGTGGCTTGAGTTTATTTTAGAGGCAGTCTAATTTAATGAGCATCTGTGTTGATAAAACTATGTCAACTTTCATGGCTGGGTCAAAGTATTTTTAAAAATAGAAAGGCTAAATGGAAAGGCTTCAGAAAAATCCTATGCTCTAAAAAGAATTTCCTATATCTCCAAAAAATTTCTGAGAGGAAGATTTCCCTGGATATCCTTACATACTTAATACAATATTATTCCAAATATAGTGGAACATTACTCCACAATAAAGAAGACTGTACTACTGACACATGCAACATTATGCTAAGCAAAAGAAACCAGACATAAACAACTATACTGATTCCTTCTATATGAATCCAGAACAGGAAATCTATAATGATAGAAAATAGTAAAACAGTTACTTGGAGGAAGTGGCAAATGATCCTGAGGGAATTCCTGTTCAATAAATGGATTAAATAGTTGGTTACACAAGTTTATAGATGTGTCAAAACTCATTAAACCGTACACTTAAGAAGTGTGCATTTCACTGTATGTAAATTTCATCTCAAATTTTAAAAACTAGGAATAAAGATTGTTATTAGTTAAAAATGAAATTGTAGTCTTCAAATGAACTAAATAAATGGATTAATATAAGTAGAAAATGCATGGACTTATAATGAGGTCATAAAACAAGGATAATGAATAATCCAATTAGATACTTGAGGTCCAAAATAAAAAACTCAGAATATCCAACTCCCTTTGCTCCAAGTCTTCGCTTACCCAGAAACCTGCTGGGCACAAGTGGGCACAAAACCATTTAGAAAATTAAACCTTCA